TCTCAATCGCGGACCCAGGATCGTCTCGGGAAGGCAAAACTGCCGATATCGACACATTCTTTGGAGCAACATTTGAGCAAACCGGGGCCAATGGCAAAGTGAAGAAACACTGAAAGTGTAGTGTTTGTCTGTAAGTCTACCTTTGTACTCTCATACTACTCATTCACTCACTCGTTCATAGGAAAAAATGTGTCCTCGTCAATGAAATCACCACCCTTCGTCGCCATGCTGAGGCCCATTTTTACGGCAAGTATCGCAAATGGGCAAACCAACATTCATTCGAATCAATGTTACCTGGTGACGTGAAGGCTCGAAAGGAGAATGCTGCGCAGCAAAGGATCAATGCCCATCTCACTGAACACAAGGCCGAACAAGTTGTACCGTATTCTGACAAGTTGTTTAGACAAGCTGCCATTGAATGGCTTGTCGCGACTGATCAGGTACGTCTGCCTTCCTCAATTCAAAACCATGACTGACGGCTTATTGTTCTAGCCTATACAAGCGCTTGAACACCCTAAATTTCAAGAGCTGATTCATGTTGCTTCTCACGCAACCAATGGAGTCAGGATTCCGGGTAGGAAGGGCACTCATGCCGAAATCATGAGAATGTTTAAAAACCACCTTACGAGGCTAAGGAACACGCTGAATGTGAGTGATGTCTGTTTTTTGACTTGCTGTATTGTGTCTCATTGGGCTTCATAGAGCGCTGCTGTCAAGGGAAACATTAATACCACATGTGATGCATGGCAAGCGGAGAACGTCGACGGTTATTTTGCGGTCACGGGGCATTGGATTGAAGAGAAGGTACCCATGCAATGGGAAATTGAAAGCTCACTCCTCGGTTTCACAAAAGTCAACAATGCACATAGCGGCAAGTGGCTGGGCAGGGCCTTATTCAAAATTCTCGATCGTGTTGGGATTGCACAGAAGGTAAATCAGTTTATTTGACTACAACGTCCTACAGCGCTCATATAACTTAGCTAGGGCATGTCACCTGTGACAACGCTGCAAACAATGGGACGACACTACAAGAATTTGCACGCCTATATGAGGCTAAATATAACAAGGTGTTTCCCTGGCGCCAGCGCAAAATCAAGTAAGTCCTGTCATTGTCCGAACTCGCTATGACACTCATTATTTGTACAGCTGCTTGGCTCACATTATTAATCTTGCAACACAGAGTCTAATCAGCACGTACAGCAAAGCGCTGTATTACAACCCGCATGAATCAAAAAGTCATGAACCGACCACTCGGGATGAAATAGCCCTTGTTCGAAGTATTTGTGTCAAGGTACGTTCGGTTTCATTAGAATCATATGACACTACTAAGATATATTGATGTCCTGCAGGAACGGTCATCCGCGAAGTGAAAGGAAATGTACCGGAGTGTGCAGACCAAAGCGGGAGTGTCTCAACCAACTCAACTGTTGATTGACATGAAAGTCCGGTGGTCCTCGACGTATATAATGCTTAATCATGCCGAGACAAACAGGGAGGTACATTATTTCTTATTGTCATAATTCTACTCATTGAAGCTTATTATCGGCTCTAGCACATTTATACTTTTGTATACGAGATAGGTCATCAAGAGCGCGACTTGGCAAAACATGCCAAGATTGACTTTCTTCAACTCTCAGCTGGTGAATGGATATGCGTCAGCCAATTCGCTGATCTTCTTTCAGTACGAGGTTTCTAATTTATTTATACTAACTTCTCATGTTAATTCTTTAGTATGCCGATGTCGCACAGCAAGCATTCTCATCTGAACGTGGCTCAACTCTGCACTTCGCAATCCCAGCGCTTGAAACCCTCTACAGGGCTTGGTCTTTGCGTGCCAAAAGGTCTAAGTATGCATGGTTTGCTCCATCGCTTCAAGCAGCCACTGCCAAGGTAGACAAGTATTATGAGAGGACAACACAGTCCCCTGCATATATAATGGCAATGTGTAAGTTGTTTATTATAATTCAATAAATACTCTAACACTTGCAAATGTAGTGCTTGATCCAGTAGGGGAAATGACTTATTTCAAGCCCCACTGGCCAGAAAATTTGCATGATGACATGGTAAGCACTGCGGAGGAAGTGGTGAGTCAAGTTTTTTTTGCCTTTGCACGATAGTCTGATTTTGCTGCCAGTTCAAAGCTCGTTATTGTGAGCTGAATGAAGAAGCTATGTTTTTGTCGTCATCCCAGCCCATGTCCAAGAAAAGCAAGGCAGGTGGTCTCAAGTCACTCATCCGCGAAGTCATCAGTGATTCGGAGGACGACTTACTTATGAACCCCACCCCTACTTCGATTGGCGATCCATCACGGCCATGGAGGGCCAAATTTATGAGCTACCTGGAGACTGTTGAGGCGGCTCTACCAGCAGGTGTATCTACCATACAATGGTGGGGGGTATGTACTATGGCTTGCGCTACTTGGAAAATTTGCACTGATGTCAATTTTGCTCAAGATAAATGCACCAAGATATCCAGTATGGGCCTCACTCGCATGAGATTACCTATCCATCATGTCGTCATCAGTATCAAGCAAGCGTGCATTTTCGCAAGGTGGCATCACGATCAACAAACGATGGAACCGGCTTAAAGGAGACATTGTGGAAGCTCTCCAATGTGTCAAATGTGCGATACGACGCGACCTTCTCTTTCGCGAGCCTGGACCATCCTCTCTCGTGGAGTCGGAGGCATGTGATGACTCTGAATTGGAAGCTGACAGTGAGGAGAGGACTGATGTTGCAGATGAGGAGGATGCTTGGGATGCTTTGATTTTAGATGATGACGAGTTTTCTGACTAGTTACTTCATGTATTTTCTTGTGCTACTAAACTATGAGTCTACAATTTTGCATACCACGAAGCCGCAGCCTAGTGCAGCTCAAGCCATGGCTTTGGGCTGGCTTGAGCTCACGGCCTAGGCTTGAAATATGGCAAGCCTAAGCCGGGCCGGAACGTCACTACTTGACGTCTATGGCTGCGCAGTATGTGTGGGTCGGTTGCATTCATAAGATGTTCTGATCCATCCCTTTTGCAAACTTGAATGATTGACGAGTAGATCGGCAGCTCAGAGTCCCTCATTTTGTATCATGGCGCCAAGTGATGCAATCACTCGGGACCCGCATGTCACTGGAGAAGTGTGTCAAATGATTGAAAAATGCATGGGAGTGGGTGGCTGCATCAAACGTATGCGCGCTTAATGTATGACATGAGGGTTTTTCAGCGGTCACTCCGGTGAAACACATTTGCAGTGCAGAGTGCATGCAAGCCACTTTGATAGAATGGGACTGTAATCCACACAAATGAGCGACGGCTCTGTAAATGCACTCGTTAAGCACAAGACTTATTTGAATAGGAATGACAGTCTTATGGTAAATCCCTTTCTACAAGTTCTGAGTCTTCTGACTTACAACTGCGGCCCAACAGGAAAATTAGAATTGAAAAACTTCGAGATCTGGACACAGATCTGAGTTGACTGACTTCTACCTCCAAGTCCCACTGACCTGAGTAACGAGGCACTGTCATGATAGTATCAACAAAATTTACATAGAGTGAATCACCACATGCAAAAGGCCAAACAGCACTGTATCCGATAGCTGTGCACTAGGCACTGTGGAGAGGTAGTCGTCCATCAGAGCATAGCATTGACTGCGTGGGTTGAGCGTTTTTTTGATCATACCACTGGTGAAAGGGCCTCCAAGTTGAGGTATAAAATCAAGGATCCACTACTGGACGCCAACCTGTCAGCCGAGGTACAGCGTGCAAATAACCTCGGGTGCAGGAAGTTGAACGTTGTTGTAATGATGCATATAGCCGGGCGTGTCTAAGGATCACTACCCGTTGTACCGGACCAATTTGCAGTACTACCTCACCGGCTATAGCAGTTACCGTCGTAGCCACTCACTAAATATAAAAGCATGTCCTTTACGTATTTACAGTGAACAACTTTGGCACATCAGCAAAAAACCTTGAAATTTCGCTTGTCAGAAAGAAGTTTGATGCTTACGGTGAGCTTATGGCCTGGTGATCGGAGCAACGTGATTGGTGGAACAAACTTTTCTGTTGTACACCATAAATACTCGATATTGATAGTGTTATAATTTTTAAATGGGTGTATGTATTGCATTATATGTTATTATATTGAGATTGAGTTGAAATACTAGTCTAGGGTTCGGAATTGCATTTCCAAACACCGAGTAGGGTCATTTGTATTAATTATTGGGCCATTCAGAAAGTTCAGAATCACAGCAATCGATTGACATGCATTCAAATCTGCGCTACTAATACTATTAACGATCAATACTACGCGAACTCTGTACTAAACGTATGATAACTTTCTTTATCTGCAAAGTTATTCAAAAAAAACCGGTCATAGGACTCCAAACACGTTGTCGCAGAAATGTCCTTGTTGACCTTCTCACCGTATTCTGGTATCAGTTCGACAGCATGTGTAACATCCGTCAACAACACCACACCACCACGCCTATAGCGTTTGCCATGTTGGTCCACCACATATGACCGCTCTACTGTCCACATTGCGAGTTCGGGACGGTCGTTGGGATTGGCGACGAAGTCAAAATATTGTATGTAGAGGAGCGGACTGGAAAGATATGTTGGAAGAACCAGGTTGGAAGCATGTGGAACCTTGGGCTGAAAAATAAGTCGAACTTGGGCGACGCGACTTGCTGAATATCACCTCGTTAGTGTTAGAATATGACAGCAAAAAATATACGTACTAATTTGGCCATCATCACTCGTAAAATTGACAAGGACGGTATCACAGTTCCCAAGGGGAAATAGGTCGCTGGGAGGGTATGATTGGATCACTCTGCTTGGCATGATCACTCGAGGTTGGAAGGCAGAGTGAAGTTGCAATCGAAATTTGTTCCACGCATAAAAGCATCCATGCCTGTGGTCCCAGCAAGTATTCTCGCCACTGGAGAGGGAAGAACACTGGATGAACTGGGAGACTGCGTGATCAAAATCAATGAGTGCATATTTGGTGAGAATATCGACGGGCGACAGGGACTTGAGATCTGGTGTTGAAGTTAAATGGAAGGCAGTGAGAGCATCTCCAGAAAGAATGCCCTTGTGAAAATGATTACGGACTCGTCGAGGTCCATAGACAGAATATGCTTCATCAGGGAGTATACGAGAAATCCAGGAGAGTGCTGGGTTGACGAGCGATGCGCCATGGGAAGTGATTAGCGCGTACAGGTTGAACAATTCCATTGACTCCTGGCGATTGAGAATCCGTACGCACTGCTCCGTGAAATCATTCACTCATCGACTTGTTCGGGCAAAGAGATCCTTGCAGTGAGTGATGAGCAAGCGCTCCATCATGTCGGCTGAAAACTGCATCAAAGTACCCAGTCTCTCAATCGTGCCTCTGAAGCTTTGGAGTAACTCGAGCTTGGGGATGAAAAAGTCTTCTTTGGCGCCCTTCTTCCCCCTCCTCGCCTCAGCCTCGACGATAGCATCCTTGAATGCATGAAAATCAGAGAGTGCCTGCACCATTGACTGTAAGGATTCGGGAGAATGGACTGGATTTTGAGCATAATAGAAAAAGTCTATGAGAGCGCGGATTGTGCGAACAAATCTAGGTGGAGCAGCGCCTGAGATTGAAGAAACAATGGTGCATTGAATATCACGATGCTCACGCCCAGTCATTTGGTTGACGTGCGTGATGCCTTTAGTAAAGTGGTGCGTCCCTACCCGTTTGTGCTGAGTGATGAAGCGGGTGTCGAGCTTGGTTTTTCCTACTATCTCCTTGATCCATTTGAGTGGATGATCTGCAAAAAAACTTATGAAAGGTATGTAAAACTTCGCCAGGGAGAAAGATGGATGGACACGAAAACGACCAATCAAGCCAATATGGCATGTGGACCCCAGACAGATGGGCAGCTTTTGCTGCCTTCTGAAATTTGTCGAGATCCCAAGGATCAATCTCTTTGGCGATCTCGTGTATAAGTTGTAGTGTGTGCTTCCCAGTGCGAGGAGGATAGAGAATTCCGTCACCGAATTTGTCTTGTGTCACCATAGTGATTGGAGAGACATTCTTGCTGACTGCAGCGATCATGGAGGCCTCTGGAAGGTCACATACATGGGCGATGAGTGGTGTAAAGACGTATCGAATATGTCGGGAAGGATCAGGCATAAAACAGCCATCACTCGCTGCAACCTTCAGGTTGGCGCAGATGAGATCAATGCACTTATGCCATAGCTGCGCCTGAAGAATGGTCTGATAGTCGGAATGCACGCGAAACTTGCTAACAGGCATGTAGGCGATACAGCGCCAAGCTCGCAGGGTGGCCTTGGAGCGAACCTCTGAATCGATGTTACCGATGGTGATGAAAAGTGGGTGCATCTCGAGCCCTCCAGTAATCCGCGTGACAGGAGTCTTATCGGATCCCAGGATGATAGGTACTTGCGTAGCACCTACTGGCAGATAGTCCTAGGTATATAGAATTAACTTCAAGTAGTAGACTTAAAGGGCCAAACTAACCTGGATTTTCCATGCCATATCAGCACTCATATAATCTCCATACTCGCGTTGACTACCTGTATCGACTATGTGTGGCTGGAAGGTAATGTGATTGGTGAAAACCGGATCGCTGAAAAGTTGTTTGACAACCTCTAGAGCATCGCGCCAAATAAGTTGCACGGGATAAGTCGTCTTGTAGCCCGTAAACTCTAGGTTCGAAACTTTCCATGGCACAAAGGAGGGTAGTGCATCGGTCCAATCTAGAAGTTGCTCCTTGGAGGTGAAGGATGGTTTTGGGCGAGTGTGAAACTGGAAACAATGGAGTCAGGCCTGTCGAGCAGCACTCAAAGTCTCTCCTACCCATTTTAACTTTAAAAACTTGTCAATCTGAGCTTGAGTTAAGTTTTCAACCAAGAACTTCGCCAACTCCCATTCTCCTTCATCATGGAAAGGGTAATACATATTTATTTCTCGCCGATAATCATACTGATCGTCTTGCAGCCTGTCAAACAGGTTCTTGCCAACACCAAAGACATATCCCGAGTGCAGATGACAATAACCAGTAGTGGTAGAAGGTTTTGACGATTGGGAACCTCGCAACCCAGGGGGAACAGGGAATTGATGCGGACATTCCTCGTGTGGCCAACAGGTAGACTGAGAATTCAAGTGCAGGGTAATGGCCTCGATTGTAGGAAACTCTTTACTGCAGTTGGGACAAAACCTGGTACAGGTATGTCCATTGATCATCAGCACTATTGAGTGACAATGATAGTATACACACATTTGCTGCCCTTTGCTGAGTGCTAGGCGTTATGCAGTGCGCAAATCGATTCAGTCTTTTAGACTCCGCCGGCTGATGTCAACCTTGTGATAATCCAACAGGTCGCTTCATATAATTGCAGATTTCCCAGTTAGCCTTCCGCAGGTTCTCCCAAGTCCACCCTTTGTACATGATGATTCATACAGTCTCTTCTCCACAAGTCAGTTCCTCCTCCATTTCTCGAGGCAGTAGTTGCCCTCCTCCATCAAGCAGTCCTCCATCTTCACCTCTGTCAGGTGGACGTGCTACCACTCCTGGATCATCTCTTTTTGATTCCAGTCTCAAGTCAGAAAGCTCTCCCAATACGAGGCATTCTGACATATGTGCTTCACTAAGAAGCATATCCTCACTGTCAAAGACGCCTCAGATTGCAGCTGCCAAATCGGAGACGGACAGCCTATTCTATAACCCGTCTACACCTCCAAATCCTGCACACGCTTCTCGATGTGGCTTTATCCGCGAGAGAATGAGCAACAAGTTCATTCCGTACCCCCCCTCTCCGGCTCCAATTGAGGTCCGTTATGCAGCTCGTGTCACCGGGCGAGAATGCAAACCATACGTATCCTCTGACTCACTTCTCGAGGTATCGTGTATTTCTTTTATTTAATTGTAGAGACTAAATTATTGAAAGCATGCCGGAACATTGGAAAATGGCCTCACACAAATGCGTCCTGCAACCTTGTACAAAGGGTATCAAGCAAAGCTTGCTGCTCGTGAGACTGCATGCCAGCGCATGTTGGTGACCGCATGGGAAATTGAGGAAACCGAGCACTTCCTTGAGTTCCTGGATGCTCTGCATGTTGACAATGAAGAACGGCTCGGATTCGCTCAAGAAGACTTAAACATCTTTAGGAAGCTATTTTCTGAGCGTGACCGTTCTGATGTCAATAATGACAGAGATTACCTTCAAGCTGTCTATGAGGATGAAATGGAGATTCTTCGCGTTGTCTCACTATAAGCTGAGCAGTTCTCAAAGATCTTAGGTGCACGTGTCAAGAAGGATTTCTTGCAACCTGGAGCCAAAGGATCGGGATCACCATCGCCTGAGCCTGGGGTTTCGATTAGAGATAATCTGGTATCCGCAGATCAGGAAGATAACTCACAGGTTTCGGTCAATTCGGCAGCACAGTCCGCACACCCTTCCAATACGCTGTTATTTGTATGAGCCCTGCGCTTCCAATTGAGGTATGTATACATGTGTCCGGTCATTATGCGCTCGACTGATCAATCGATAAGAACGCATTGTAACATGCATGCTACAGTTTAGCAAATCCATCATGGCCCCTTTCTCATTTGTATTCATTTTTCACATCTGCAGCTGTTCTTTTTACATCGTGCCCCTTCATTTTAACCCTTATCCTGTTCGCAGCCCCATGTCACAAGACGTGTAGTTTATTTGGGTGTTGTTTGTGTACAGTCGCTTCTCGTAGAATTCAAATTGGACTGCTCTCTGCGCCCATGCATCCTCAACTCCCTCTACTTTATGGCCAGCAAACGTGCACCGCCCCGCAAAGGTAAGACTAACTTTGCGAAACCTGCGCGTGGTTCGGGCCTCAACCCATCTCATGCTCCCGCGGACAGTCAATTGAATCTCGTCGATGAGCAACCGCGCGAACCAATGTCTTTTTTTAACCCTCACGCCTCAAATCAGCCACTGCCATTCAATCCTCACACTACCCACCATCCGCACCATCCACAGGACTCCGCGCACCATCAGCACACGTCCGCTCCCCACCAGTGTGAGTCTGCCTATGATCAGCATGAAGACTTCGCCCAGCATCAGCAAGAAGATCTCGCCCATCATCATCAGGATTTCGCCCAGCATCAGCATCAGTCCGCTCCCTACCAGCGCGAGCCAGCTTACCAGCATGAAGATCTCGCGCACTATCAACATCAGGACTTCACGCCTTCTCAGCAGGACTTTGCGCCTCCTCAGCAGGACTTTGCGCCTTCTCAGCAGGACTTTGCGCCTCCTCAGCAGGACTTTGCGCCTTCTCAGCAGGACTTTGCGCCTCCTCAGCAGGACTTTGCGCCTCCTCAGCAGGACTTTGCGCCTTCTCAGCAGGACTTTGCACCTCCTCAGCAGGACTTTGCACCTCCTCAGCAGGACTTCGTGTATCCTCAGCAGGACTTCGTGTATCCTCAGCAGGACTTCACGTATCCTCAGCAGGACTTCACGTATCCTCAGCAGGACTTCGCATCTGGCGCTGGATCCTCGACCGGATATGTTGCTCCGTCATTAGGTAAGTCTGCCTGCGCTCATAACATATGTCTAGCACTTACCCTTCCACCATAGTGCCCAGTTGGGTCGGCGATGATGAGGAATTTCAGACTCATTCAGTCCCACCACCGGATCTCCACCACTTACGGCCAATGTTGACGGGAGAGATCCCTAACTCCCATGTGATACATGTAAGTCAATGTTAGTATCTGCATCATCGAAAATTGACCTGACATTACTAGACTACAGGGCCTGCAAGGATATCAAAAGCACGTTGTCATGCAACTCGATGTTTGCCCCCCACACCATGCCTTGTCATTCCTGTTGTGACGCCCACAACGATGACGGGGACTGTCGCACCTCCGGAATCCATCGAAGGTTCCGCCGTTGACATTAGTCCCGAGACGCGCAAACAAGTGATCTCGGCCTCGAAGGAACACGTATTATCCATTGTCTTTTCTGACGATGCACTGGTATCTCTCACGGCTGACAAAAAGTGCATCATCAAAAAGGTCATTTCCGAAGTAAGATCTAGAATACCAGCCCTTCTCGGTATGAATTAACATCCAAACACTGACTTATACTAACTATTTGATCCTACTAGTTGCAACACAATGGACGGCTAATGAAAAGGACGTTGCGAACATTTGGTGCGCAGTGACGAAATTTTGCACTGCATTCGCAACAATCATCCGACAAGCTGTTGTGATGGGATATTCCCTCTTCCCACCACAGGGCTGTACTATCCCCCCAGATACTTTTCGTGTCGATCGGATATGCTGCCTCATCATAGATAACGACTTAGCGTTCATGCATCAATACACTTTTGCAGTAAGTCTTTATTTATTTTCGAGAACATTTTTTTAATCTATTTTGACAGGACGGTGTGCTTGTCATTCACTCGAAATTCACCAACCCATTCATCCTTCACGTCCTAACGAAACTCATTTGGTGTTCGCCCTTCCAGCTCCACACTTTTCTCGACAAATGCCCACACCGTCAAATATGTTACGCTATTGGCGCAGCTGGCGCCATTACAGAGTCTGCATTGATGGAGCAGGGCTTGATACAACTTACAAAGGGTAGGATTACCCCCCAGATGATGCATTCGACATTCACGAAGATTGTTCTGGGCCTGGATCAGCTAAGTGATGCTGAAAAGGTTATTTTAGACGACTTCACAGACAGCATCGTCATTTGCGGGCACTCGCAACAGCAAGCCAACGATGAACTATCTGATTTTGATTTTGAATAGATACATCATGTATACCGATAATATATTCACATTAGCTAATAGTTGTATCTCACTCGTGAAAATTTCGATGCTATTTTACATATTTGTATCGTGTCCGATTCAAAAAACTCTAATTGTCCTCGCTTAAGTCTCGTGGATACGCAGACGACGAGGATATAGCCAGCAAATTTGAGGACCCCGATGCGAGTACACGGGATCCTCATGGATTCGGGGAGTAAACATACCCAAACACGAACAAATATGCGCCAAACTCAACAGAACTATCGTAAAAACACTATAACTCCAGCTATTAGGGAGGGAGGAGAGGGAAAAAAAGTAGTCAGAATATGAGAGAAGGATAGGTTGAAGTAAGTTTAGTTAAATATTAGAGAGATGAAAATAAATGAAGTTAAATATGACCAAATGGGATATGCGGATCATGAATTGACCGCCCATTAAACAAAAGAGCATGTAACAAAGCAGGATTTTTGCGTACATAGATATGAAAGGAGTCCGACGACCAACGGCCCATAGCTTGGATGCGATCGGCTGAGACACCAGCCGCTGCAAGGGAAGTCGCACCACTGGCACACAATGAGTGCCCCAATATAGAATCAGGGAATATCGCGCGCAAGCGATGAATGAACCACGCGCGTGTAGGAACAGATCTGTCACTGCGCAACCAGAGAAAATAATTGAACAGAAACAAACGATCTCACGAGGCGAGGTACGACAAGAACATTTGCTGAGGATCCGCTGAATCAGTACGTTGAATGATAATAGTGTTCCCTTCAAATTGGAAATCCATCTTGTGTCGCTGCAACACGAACGAATGATGAGTTTCAGCGATGACAACTGATGTCCGTAGAGTGAGTTTGGAACGTTCTTGAATGGCAGAATTGTCTGGCCAGACAAGTTCACCGAGTCTTAATAACCCATAGAACCTGTCAAGGAGTTGGGCCATGAACAACAGGTCATCATGCTGAGGCACAACAGGTAGCATTGCTAACGCATCCTCCAAGTCAGAGCAAGAGAGAGGACGTTTTTGACGAATAGGCACCCCAAATCGTCGTTTTGCACCTCGTAAAGTTCGAGATACTAGGCGGGCTCGACGATTATGCCGAATCTCCGGATAGTACTCTTCAAGAAGACTACATATTCCGGATAGATAATTGTCGATGGAGCAGGGGTTGATGTGTGCTGACATGAAGGTTACATAAAGGGACAATGTGTCGACGGAAGGTTCCAAGGATAGATGGTGTAAGTCGCAGAAGGTGATGTAAGAGTTTAAGGCTGACGAGTATGATTGGTTAGTTGACCGGTCCAAGGCAAGACCTAGATTAACAGAGCGCTCATATATGAGTCGCTCCATAGGCCAGGCAGCCCATTCGGGCTGCCTGGCCACGACGGAAGCACACATCATTTTTTGCCCCATCCCATCACATTCCGTGGGGGTTGAAAAGGGAGTACTCGTATTCCCGGCGATACTCTATAAGCATCGGAAACTCTCCAACGAGAGAGATGGTCTGCAATGGTATTATCTTCCCCAGAGACATGGAAGACACGGAAATCTATTTGAAAGGCAAGGATTATTTCGACGGTGTCCATGAGAAGATGATTATAACCTGGTCCTCCTGACAAAGAGTTGAAGAGGTATACCGAATTTAAACTATCAGTATAGACGGCGAGGCGTCCATTACATGGTAACCAAGTGACGGCGTCATGAATAGCAGACACGACGCAAAGTGCCTCATAGAAGAAGATGTCATCGATGGGAGGATTCAACGGAAGATTGGATTGAAATCTGAGATTGAGTGATGGATACCAGTAACCCATCCCGGAGCCTGAAGCGTCGCAGAAAACTTGCAGTACGTCAGGAGGAAGAGGATGAAATTGCCAAGAGTTGGACTTTAAGAGGAATACTCCATTAGACCATTCCAAATGAAACACCACCCAGAGAAGTTCTTCGACAACACTGCAATTAAGTCAGAGCATACCCTTGGGGTTGCTTTTCCCTCTTATCTTAGCATAGACCACAGAGAGTCTGGGTTGTAATAACGGACAGACATTCAATGCCCAGTTTAATGAGCCGGCAATGTGTTCGAAGTCTCGAAGCGATCTCCTCCTTTTATACTTCGCAAAGTCTCTTACCTCCCGAACTAACCCTTTTTTGGACTCCGTTTTGAGAGAGATCTTCATCAGATTCGGGTCGACCTCAAAGCCAATAACAGGCAGTGGAGATCCAAAAACTTGTTTGCGTTCCTCGTGAGGGATTCCTAATTTGTCCCACAACAAGAGCAAAGATACCATGTCCAAGGGCAATTTCTTGCGATACTTGACATAATAGGACAGGTGTCCGACCTTGGCAAAAGAGAACGAGTCATCGACGTAGATAAATGCTTGGATGAAGCGAATGAAAACGGCAATCCAAATAACCAAGGACATGAAAGCATGGAAGATGCGTTGAGATGCGCGTCCTCCAAAGATGTTGGCTCGATCAATCCGCCATTCTCCATCGAAAGATATGACTTGCTTGGTCTGCCAAAGCGGATGCATGGGCAGGTGCCTATATGCTTCCGAAATGTCAGCTTTCCAAATAAGTAAATCGTCGTTTGGATGATGGAGTCGATATTCCCGCAATGCTCCTCCAAGATCTTGAACGTTGTCCAAGGTGACTCCTGCTATATCTTCTTTCGCTATCATCGAGTTGAGCGAGAATTCACCCGCACTATGGTTAGTTACTAAATGAAAATTGCCACCTTCTTTCGGTACAGCGTGAATTGGCATACTATACATGCTGGGCAGTAAGGTGTTCCCAAAGTTTCGCAAGTAACGTCCCACCGACTCTTCTTTAAGAATTTGACTTTGTAAAAAGGTACATTCAGGTTCGGAGGAAGGAGTTGGTGTCGGTACATCCCACGTAGTAGGATACACCCCGAATTGAGTATTGGCCCAAGGCCAGAAACCTTCGCGCAAATCTTGACAAACGGATCGAACAAACGGAAGGTTGGGATGATTTGCAAGAGTAAGGAGAGTTTTGAAACGATCAATATTGATTGGAGTCGAAACAACAAAGAGGTCTGGATTATTAGAAATGGTTGACATAGCGGCTTGATTCTCAAACTCTGAAAGCGGTGGGCGTGGTAAAGGATCAGCGGTCTCAGTCCATAAGGCGGTCCCACTAAGAGTCTCAGCTGCTTCTCCCCATATCATTCTTCTTCGAAAGTGTTGTCCCCTGGCGACGGATTCATTTAGAACCCTTTGCCAGTGAGCAGTCTGACCGCTTGTGACCTCCTCGGCACTTGCTACACACATGGAATCGCGAACACTCGTTGGTGGCTATATCACATGCTCCGCAGTTCCAGTTGTGACAAGGCTCTCCCCGTCCGAACAAATCCGACCGTAACGATTTCTTCCCTCCTCCCGTACCCTTTCCGAGTCCCTTTTCTCCTGTAGAGGTCGACATGGATAAGTGTTGGAGTTCAGAGAAGGTGACCATTCCGAGGGATGATAAGTGGGAGACTTCAAGACGACAGAATTCTCTGATGTCGTCGAACCGGAGATACTTTTGTCCTTCAACTTTGAGACGACACGCTCTGTCAAAGTCAAGGATTCGGGAGTGTAGGTTGTAGTGCACGTCGACAAAAAACCCGGAGACATATCTCTTATATCCCTGCAATTCAGATTCTCTCCGGGGCATAATGAAGGTGAGCGCCTCGATCCAGAGGTCAGTTGCAATACTCCAATCTCCATAGGTTTTGACTTTATGGGTAGTCGTAGGTTGGGATAATGTAATTTCAAAACCCTTGCCGAGAGGTTGAGTTTGTTTAGGGTCGATGGAGGTAGAGTAATGTCCAGATAAGACCTTTTCAAGGTCTGGTGCTTGTCCTTCGAGCAGGAGGATCCATTGTGATAAAGGAAAACTGGGACATCCTGGCGTAGCGGTGACTTGGCCTTGGTAGTATTTTGAGTCGTCAGTCCACTCCTCATAACACTCGAGAGTAAGTCTTTCGGCGTGTTTGTTTGATATGTGTCGAAATTGATCCGGTTGAAGCCAGGGATGGAATTGAATTCGTTCTGAGGTAAGCTTCCACCTTTTTCCTCAAAGAACGTACTCGGTGTCATCTTCGGATGCCCCACTTTCCTCTTCTTCTGAACACACTCTTCTGCGCAATCTAGAATGGAGTTCCTTCTCCTTTTCAACTGACTCAAGTGGTTCTGGTTGTCCTGAACCTTCTTTGTGACCTGATTCTCCCAATGTTCTATCCCTCTGAGAACTGGGGGGCTCTTCTGCTTCGTGAACGCTGTCGAGGAGCTCGAGATAATGGTTGAATCCTGGTCTAAAGTCGAGTTGAGTGAGGACTTGTGATTCTGCGATAGCGGCATGTAAGACGGTTTGGATTTCCAGAAGTGCATCTCCTTTTTGTAAGAGTCCCTTCCAAAAATTTTCGACAATATCCCGACACTTCTCAACGGCAGTTTGATCAAACGTTTGAGAATTCTGTGTAGCTGAGTTCGAGGACATCGTTTGACTTTGACTGGGACCATTTGAATTGTCTGACATGAGAATAGAATTCGATGTATAAAATAGTGTGCAAAATTGCTTAGTAGCTAGCGGTACAATTAATTCGAGTGAGAAGGGAATAGAATTAAAAACAATTGGCATACCTAGCGGGACGAGTAATTCGAGTGAGAAGAGGTGAGGACCTCCAAACTCACCAAGTCCCGCTAGACATAGGCCAACAACTCCGCTAAAGGAGGTGGCAATGAGGATTACGAGAGAGATATTAGTCATCTCAAATGATGCACGGGGCATCGGCCATAGATGGCGAAGGGCCAGGCCCTTGACAAAGAATTTTCGGGAAAACCCGAAAGAGGACTGCTGGGGAGCCTGCTCGTCCAATTACCCTGGTGTAAATAAAGTTAAACTCGAAACATTTTACTACAACGGCAGTCCCAGAGCGGTACTTTTCTCTCGGTTGAGCCAAAACAACATTTACGAACGCATGCCCTGAGCTATACCCAATCCGAGTTGTTCAGAACAACTTTCGAACTCGTTGTCGGTAACTCGACTCTTTTAGATGGGCCCAGTGTGTGCTCGGGCAAGCGGTCATTAAATTTCGAAGACTTTAGTTAGAATGGAACAGTACTTTCGGACATCAGCGACTCGGCATCAACTCATCAGCGCTGCAGCTTCCACATGGGCTGTGTCTCAATGACTGATGGTTTTTTGGAGGGGCCCCCGGCCACGTGTGTTCAAGTTCGCTGTTGAAAAAACTGTTAGACTAGGACAAGACAAGTCACGGGCTACATGATGAGATGCTGTATGCGCACTACTAATAGGCCAGGATCGTGTACATGATGTCCGATCGGATAGGAAAGAAACTTGCAAGATCCCTGACTCTTCTGTCTGTGCTCCACCTGTGCCCCCACCTGTTGTCCAAATTGGTCTAGCGCCATGTGCGCTTGACCATTGTCCTTCCTAACTACACAAGCTCACGCCCGTTGTGCCTTCGGCACAAATCGAAGGAGCGCTACGCGCTCCTTCAGGGGAGAAAAATGAGTGTTGTTCCTTCGTCACAGGAAGCCAAGGAGGGCTACGCCCTCCTTTGGCTTCCTGGCCTCAGGCTGCATCCTAATAAATTGTGCATTTTGAATGATTTTGAAATATATTTATGAGCAGCTTTTCAAAGAACTCAAAAGTACAATAGTACATAAGATCAGTCAGTGCTATGTTCTTTGAGCAGGATTTTGACCAATGTAAAAAATACAAAATATGTAACAGTATCATTGAATGTATTTGTTTTCCCATTTTTCCCTGCTTCCCATCTAGGGATCAGCAGGGGTATGGGAAACCCTTGAGGGTAGGGGTAGGGGTTTGGATCTGAAGACCCCTGTACCCCTGGGAATATACCTCCAAATTGATTACCATAGGAGTGATGGATCAGTATAAAATTTTGAAGTTGTACATGTGCCTTCAAATGGTAATATATGTGATTGGAAAAAATGTTACCATGGGGTATACCCATGCTAATCCCTACTCCCTACTCCCTACTCCCTACTTCCTACTCCTGTCTCCTGTCTCCCGTCTCCCGTCTCCTGTCTCCTGTCTCCTGTCTCCCGTCTCCTGTCTCCTGTCTCCCATCTCCCGTCTCCCGTCTCCCGTCTCCTGTCTCCTGTCTCCTGTCTCCTGTCTCCTGTCTCCTGTCTCCTGTCTCCCGTCTCCCGTCTCCCATCTCCCGTCTCCTGTCTCCTGTCTCCCGTCTCCCGTCTCCCGTCTCCCGTCTCCCGTCTCCCATCTCCCGTCTCCTGTCTCCTGTCTCCTGTCTCCCGTCTCCCGTCTCCCGTCTCCCGTCTCCCGTCTCCCGTCTCCCGTCTCCCGTCTCCCGTCTCCCGTCTCCCGTCTCCCGTCTCCCGTCTCTGTTCTCTCAGTCTCCCATCTCCTGTCTCCTGTTCTCCCATTTCCCCATTTTCCTGTCATCGCATTCTCTGGTTTTTGAGTCTACATTGTCTTTGTCTCCTTTTTTTATTTGAATCTTATCTCCTGTCACCACATTTGTTATCTCCCTGTCTGTAATTGTATCATATGTTGTTCCATTTATGTACATATACAGTCACTACTAATAATTGCAGTAGGCAAAACACTCAAATCCTGTTGTCCCCCTGCTCAAACACATTATTTAATGCCATGTACACATACAGTTACCAATGTTGTTGCGCAACATTCCCAATGGGTGACGTTGTTTGAGTCGCCGCTCGAAATATACATGAAAACCACGCGAGTTTCCAAATCGAGGTTAAGCGAGGTAAGCGAAAACCACATGGCCTTTGGCGAAATACGCGAAATACGCGCAAACCACGCGAGCGCGCGAAAGTTCCCGAAACCGTTCTACTTTAGGTCCAGTTTGGACAATGACTCCGGGTTCAAAATTTCTGGCTCAAACCGCACGTGATGACCTGACTGCGTTAATAAGCATCTATTATCTAATAAAACAAAAGATACTCTAGTATCATCACAATGTCTGATAAATCAAGCGGCGGCTCTTTGCATTCCTTACGTTCCCGGGGTACTATAGATGTGACATCAGCTGCTGCATCTTGCGGAACGACCAGGAAGGCTCCTGCGGTGTGGACGAAGGCAGAAGAAACCACCTTTCTTGAGTTCCTTCTGCAGGCCCTTCCTGCATCAGGCGATGGGGGCTTCAAGGCGCCCACCTTCAATCAAGCATATGCGCACCTCAAGATAAAACACCCGCATCAAAGGGGCGCAGAAAAGGTTGGCACAGTTTGCAAAAATAAGTGGACATCGGTATGTTTCCAGTGAACTTTCAGCCGCCAGCAAATCAATGACATATATTTTTATAGTTAAAGAAAGCATACCAAAGTGTTGTTGAAATTAAGTGTACTTCTGGTTTTACTTGGAGTGATGATCATGGAGCGGGTATCACGGACAAAAAGGATGACATATGGGCACGCTTTATAAAGGTACGTCATCGCAAATAGACTGCATGCATACCCCTCTACTGATATTGTTTTCAGTCGCATCCTCACGCGAGGCCCTTCATGATGAAGGGCTTCGACCACTTCGATATCATGCAGCAGTTGATGCCAAGCAAGTCGAAAGGCTCTCACGTCTTCCGACCTACCACCGCCACCAATGCCACCACACCATCCTCCATCCCCACAGCCACAGACAACACACTTCCAGGGCCGCCACCATCCTCAGTGGGCCTGCCACCATCCTCAGTGGACCCGCCACCATCCTCAGTGTACCCGCCGTCATCCTCAGTGTACCCGCCACCATCCTCAGTGTACCCGCCACCATCCTCAGTGGACCCTCCATCTACCTTTCTCGCTCCTTCCACGGAAGGGTCTACCTCTGCCGGTGGCTCGGCATGGACAAGTATAAGCCGGGGAAAGCGAAAACGCAGCGCGCTTTCGCCTGCGTCAGCTGCAGGCTCTCAGAAACGAGGCCGGCCACCATCTGCCACACTATTGGCACAGCAGGAGGGCACCGAAACGATGAAAAGCCTCGTAGAAGTAGTACGTGAGATGCAGAAGACTCTTGTATTAGCGCCGGCGCTGCCGCCAGTGCAGCCACAGCCTCAGCCTTCCACGCATGTTGGAAGCGCCATTTCCCTCCTCAATAAATATACAGACCTCACGAGCAAAGAGCGCTTGGGCATTGCCAACTTTCTAGCTGAACACGAGAACCAGGCGATCATTTTCTACTCGTTGGATGAGGTGACGAGGCTTGAGTGGTTGGAAGAGAAGCGAGTCCTTTGTGGTGGTGCACCACGGCGATCAATTGACTCACAAGAATATATGATTGTATCGTAGCGGCGTACAGATCATTTCGTAGTACAAAATTCATGTATTACCTACAACTATGGCAATGGGAGTCCCCTTCGTGCATGTTCTGCGAGATAGTCAGTCCACATTGCTTGCGCGATTCCGTCCCTACGAGCATCTGCGCGTCTGCGCTCAGCAGCATCCGCCGGTCCCTCTGAATGTGCGCCAGATCCAACACCATCATCCTCTGCTAGATCGTGCCCGTACTCGAGGGCAAGATCAAATATATCACCGTTGTTTCTTCGCATGAAGTTGTGAATGGCGCAAAGCGCCGCTGGGATCCGGGACTGGATGTCCATGGAGTATTCAGGCGCGCATATTAAGATGCGCCATTGTCGTTTCATGACGCCGAATATCCGCTCGATGATGTTGCGAAGTGCAGCGTGTCGCAAGTTGAACAACTCTTTCGGGTCTTTAGGCCTAGAAAAAAATTAATAGACAGACTGACAAAAGAAAAAAGGAGCTCACGCGAGATTAGCTTGACGCCATTCCTTCAGGTGGTAGCGGACACCTCGATAAGGCACGAGAAGTGCGTCGCATGTACCAAAGCCAGCATCGGCTAGAAGATACTTGTCTTTGGGCACACGCAAATCATGAGAGCATGCATCGTTCCAAAGGGAAGCATCGGCAACTGAGCCGTCCCACCCTGTGAGTGAGTAAATGAAAAAGAAGTCGAGGTCGCAGATAAACAAGCAGTTCTGCGATAAAAAGCCTTTCCTGTTGCGCAGGACAACATGGTCTTCAAGCGGCGCAAAAACGTGGATGTGGGTGCCGTCAACAGCACCGATACAGTGGTCGAAGAATCGGAATCGAGGGTCAGCGTGAATTGCCACAGAAAGTGGGGTGTTTTGGTCCGGGAAGCGGACGTTCAAGGTGTAGAAGGGAGCCGATGAAAAGAACATGAGTAGGTGTTTAAAATATCTGCAGAAATCAGCACAACTTGAACAATAGTTATATCAAAAGTTAGGCACTTACCTTGTAATCGTATCGGGAGAGCGCTGGAACCTTTCTCCGACGTGGCGAGACGAAAGTCCAGTAACACACGTGTAGAGAAAAATGCCGAGTTGCTCTGACACGCTTACCCCATTCCGGGACTGGACAAAGCCGTGTCGGTTAAGAACCGCTAACAGCTCATCGAAAATTTGAAGGTCGACGCCGAAATTGTGTCTGATCCTGTCTGGATGACCACTGATCAGTTCATATACCCATGCTTGCCCAGTAAGTATGGATGTGTGGTAAGGAATTCTTTCAGCGCGGGATAAGAATAAAAGATGGTATAGATGTGTGACCTGGGCGACCACAATGGTGATGATAATGACCACGATTTTGTGTCGTCGATCGTGTTGCATTTGCGCTTCAATATCCATGGCAGTGATGGATATGACACGCATATATATGCCGATTATCTATCTATATACTTACACGCCATCTGGACCTATCACGTGCAATCATCACGTGCAGTTTGAATCAGAAATTTCGAACCCGGAGTCGTTGTCCAAACTGGACCTTACTTCTTAGATATGTTCCGATACCTTGTTCGGGTGCCTGGACAGTGGACACCGCCGCATGGACACTCCAGTGGCTGTCCTGTTGGTTTGTGCACAGCGAGTATTTATTGTGATTATGATCTTGTATCACTGTAGCTAAACTGTACAATAAATGTGCGATAGTAGTCAGTGCGAGCTGAGGAAGGTTGTTGAAAGCAGCAAACTCCGGAGTCCACGTTCTGCCCGAAGTGACATTATCGGATCTTGCTCGAGCGTTTATCGACATGAAATAACGTAGCCTAGCGCCCTTTTGGTTTGTCCAAAATAAACGGCGGCAAGACGAAATCCTGATCTGAAAGTGGCTAAATTCAGCTTACAGTAATCGGGTTGTCCACCACAAAGTTTATGCTCCAATATTATGATGACACGATCCGTCCCATACGTGAGTACTAGTACTTGCACGTGTTCCCCCCATCATATAATAATGCATCCTCACGGACCTCACCCCTTCTTCTGTAACTTGAGTAGCTCTGACAGTCAGTTTGATTTTTACTAGAATTCTGTACAATTCGCACTCCTTCCAAAAACCCACACTCCTTCTATGATGCCTCCAGTGCACACACGCCTTAGGCTATTGCATACCGCTATCATCAGTATTCAGGTTATTATCCTCGCATTTGGATATGGATTTCTGGGCGCAGTTCTCTATTATGGTTACCTTCCTCCACCTGATCGGGTCAGCAACTTATGGAAGCATTACCCTCAAGAGTTGACCATGGTAGTCACATTAATAGCAACTGTCCTTTCGGTGACTACTGCTATGTCTGTATACTTTTCTACTCTCTCCAACTTATCACTTACAAAGAGATGAACAATCCCTTAGGGTTTTCACGGTTTCAGTCAAGGATGCATTGAGACATCGGATATCATCGCGGCCCATCTCTCTCGTTCAGCTAAGCGCCGGTGTCGCTTTGGCGAAGGGCTCCATCATATTGAGACCTGAGCACTTACAACTGACCACCATGACGCTGTTCGCCTTTGGTATCCTGAGACTTTTGACAGCTGGGTAACTCGTTTGTTGAGATCATTGTACTATTGCTGTGTTGTCTAATCTAAGTGCCGATATAGGTGGACGACTCTCCTGACACCGACCTACTTCCTATGGCCAATTGAGATGCGAGGATCCGAACTTGATATTACTGGAACCGCGTTTTCCACCTTGCTCTTCCAAGAATTTCAAAAGCAGGGTCTCACTACCAGTGCGTATCTCTACTTTTCCCATTGTTTAATCTGTTTCATCTAAAACGAACAACCAAAGTCCAAGACAATTCTTTCGAGATTCTCAACATCGGCGGAATGCTAAGCGGAGTCTCTGCTGCAGGATATACCTTCGGTCTTCCTGGCACATTTAATTTCAATGGTGCAAAATATAATGTGTCCACTCGTAAGTTCAGACTCTAACGTCGCTTGAAGCTGTTTTACGATGATGTGTTGTGTACCTAGAGGGGATTGTGCCCGTCATTGAGGATTTTTCCGGTTCGGACGGAGTTCCGAGTGCCAACGGCACTCGTCTCGGCTTTTCAGGTGGAAACGTCACAGTCAACACAGAACAGATACCGGGAAAACACACCAGCGTGTCTATTCCTCTAGGTTTCAGCAGGAACTATTCAATGTTGCAGCAGGGGTTAACAGCTGATGTCAGCTGCCAGCCAATTGGGAGTCAAACGCAGTACGTTTGGAACACGGGTAACTCCTCCGTTATCTATGCCAACCCAGCTGCTCTGAACAACTCCATCACTGGTCTTCGCTTGTGGAATATAACTGCAAACTGCGGTACCAGTGAGTTTCAACCACATATATCTTGCCTGTGATTTACTGTCAGCTCCTAGATACACCCACGACGCAGGAATATGTGACCATGGTGGATGCAAGTGGAAATCCGAGCGTGTCAGGGACTGGCTTTCTTCCTTCCGTTGTGTGCCCGGGGCCTACGGATCTGACTCAAACTTATACAAGCTTTAGTGAGCCATTGAAGTATGCGTTTGTAGTCGCTGACCGATTCCGTTCCTACAGCGATTCTTTCACAAGGATTTTACAAGTATGGATTCCTCAATCCAAGCGTGTGCGAGGTGACTCCACTGTTGACTACAGTCCGCGCCAAATATTCCAATGACCTCATTTCTTCCGAGGTCATTTCATCGATCCCTTTCCGACCAGAGAATGAACAACTACTAACTTTTGTCGTGGGAGTTGCCATGTTTCAGTCGATCAACTCGCAGGGGCTTGCGAGCAGCGCAATCGGAGACACTCTGTACTCCATCTATTCCTCGACAACTAACACATCTATCGACGACAATCTTGGAAATCAAACGCAGGTTTACAAAGAACTGGTGAGTATTTATGTTGCGAGGTCTTTGCCCACGTTAAGTTTATGCCTTCGTTAGGAGGAGTATTGGCGTGGCGTTGTTGAATTTTCTGCCACGGTGAGCGTTCCGATCCCTTAGTTCCAATCGAGATCGACTCAGCATTGCTTGGCAGTTCCTTCGCTCCGGGTTTATGGTTGTTGGTAGCTTCCCCGATAACACCATCCCGGAGGACCTCTCCTCCCCAGTCAATGGAACAATGTATATATCGACGATAGGTTGGACTCAGCAGTCGGCGACATATCTTCTCGCCATCATTCCCATCACCATCATCACCATCCTCACAGTCGCCTGCGCTTTGTATAGTATTTTGCAGCCTGAGAAAAAGGACACGGGCAAGAGGCCTTTCGATGCGTCGAACCCTCTTCATCTCATTATGGCATCTGCTGCCGGGGGTATGGAACTCCAATATTTCGACGACAATGGGATTACCACCAACGAGGGCATGATGGTGAAGCTACAGGACAACGATGCGCAGAAAATGTTTGTGAAAGCGTAGGTCGTATGATTTCAAGTACCATTGTGTCATGGCAGTTGTCTTTTCTTACTCCTATACCCATTCTTACTGTCCGATTGTAACCGTGGTGCTGCTGCCTATTCGTTCCGATTCTGTCAAACTTCCTCACTACGCTCATTTACTTGTTGTCTTACACTCATTCAATCTGATACCCACATGTTTGTATTTATGTAATTTGTCAGGTCGTTCGTCATCGTCAGCCCTCTCTCTGAACGTTCTCCTCATCTACCGTCATATAATCAATGAACCACTCAGTTCTTCATCACTATCGCGTTTAACTTTTCATGGCTGCAACTTTATCGTATTCTGCTTTGTCATTGACTTCGCCTTTGCTCGTGCCTCCCGTTTCGCTGGTCTTGTCGGATCGAGAGCGTCCTGATGACGTGACGTCTGTCGTGTCCGGTTTCTCGACTTCGACGAGCAGTTCGTGATCAGTATTTGGCCGGACGTTCCAAATTGCCCGTTACTGCCGCTCCTACTTTACGGCACGTCGTACAGAATTTTCCATACATGACTAGGACTGTTGGAGTACGAGGCCGAGAGATCCGACGCCAGGGGGAGATCAGAGTCGAGAGAGTCCGAAGGATCCGAGTGATAAGGGGAGAATGGTTCGAGCGCGCGCCAAAACGGATGAAGACGAGCGACGTATGACGTCGGCTCGCGTCCTACTTTATTTTTCAGTCTCTCATTCATATGTTCCAGTACCTGACCAACTTACTATAAGATTACCAGCAGTACCGCATGTGCATCTCAGTTTTCGTTCGAGACAACTGAGATGTACGTGCCAAAAAGTCCCTAGAGTTTACGACGCGTCTAATGTTAGTTATAGCTTGTCTTTGTCGTTCTAGGTAGACGCACCGTTATAGAGTTTTCGTTCGAGACAACTGAGATCTTGTCTTTGTCGTTCTAGTTCTAGACTCCTCGTGACCCTCTCGCTCGTAACGAACACCTTTAGGTTATGAGCCCTGCCTCCATCATGGAACCTACGCTCCCCGGTACAAACTCCAGCCTGTTCAATATCCCGAAGCTCGCAGAAGACGGCTCAAATTGGATTACTTACAAAGAATGAACGCTAACGGCTATTGGAGCCCGAGGTTTGATGTGATATACCGATGGACGCGTCTGCGAACCTATTCCCTTCGTCATCGATCCGAACACCAAGGCCGTAAAGAAGCCTGACGGTTCGACGCAGACGCAGACTGAAATAGACGAGCTTGATAAGAAGATCGACGAGTACCACCAGAAAAACTCACTCGTAAAGCAGCAGATATTCAGCACGATCACCGATCGGCTGTTACTGCGCAGTCCAGAAGCTTGGGGAGGCATCCGAGATCTGGAATGAGATTTGTCAGATTCACGAGGGTAAGACTGAACTCGTGCAAATAGACTTACGGCGTCGGTTGCAAGAGACACGCTGTGAGGAAGGAGGCGACATCAAGGGCCATTTTGCAGAGCTCATAAGGCTCCGCGAGTCGCTGGCAGGAATGGGCGCGGCTATCGTCAATAACGACTTCCACGCCATTATTCTAGGCTCGCTCCCGGAGTCGTACCGGCCCCTCCTATCGTCCATCAGCGCAGCAGCTAGGATAACTAAGAGTCCCCTCACCTCCTACGAGTTAATCAGCATCATCACAGAAGAGTACGAGCATCGCCTACTCACCGAACGCCGTCCCAACAAGAAGGGAGCTTCAGGCTCCGCCCTATCTGCTAGAGAAGCTAAGGGGAAGGGCAGAGCGTCAGCTGGCACCCCCAAAACGAATCCGGAGGTCACCTGTTTCAATTGCGACAGGAAGGGCCACTATAAAATGGACTGCTGGCGTCCGGGGGTGGTAAGGAAGGGCAAGGCCCTAACCAGCAGAAAAGGAAGGCCGAGAAAGCGCCCAAGCAGGCTGCTAACTCGGCCACACAGCCAGAAGCCCACGACGACCAATATGCCTTCGTTATGTCAGATTTGGCGAGCGTGGCAGGCGAGCTGAACGTACCTGTCGAAAAACGAGGCGCAATCGTAGATTCGGGCGCGACCTCTCATTTTTGCCCTGATAGGGCGAAGTTCACGAACTTCGTGAGCATCCCTCCCCAAGACGTTTGCACAGCTGACGGTTCGAGCTTGAGTGCGATTGGCCGTGGAGACGTGCACCTGGAGCTACCGCTCGGTGAGAAACGCACAAAGGTCACATTAAAGAACGCACTGTATGCACCGAAAATGGCCTTTACGCTAATTTCCACGAATCATATCGCAGCGGCTGGCCTAGCCGTGCTGTTCGAGGGCAGGATGTGCAAGCTCCTGTCGAAAGGGCCAGACCGGAAGGTCATTGCAGAGATCCCCCAGGTTGAAGGCCTGTATAGTGTCGCAGGAGGACAACAACGTCAGCATCATGCCAACATCGCAAAAGGCAAGCTTACCGTCAGCAGCACCCACAAAGTACTGGGCCACGTGTCCCAGACTGCAGCCGCTGATGCGATCTGGAAGGGCCTAGTCACCGGCCTAGAACTGGATGAGGCATCGAAAGCCGAATTTTGCGAAGCCTGTGTGCAAGCTAAGTCAACGAGGAAGCCTTTCCCAGAGGAGAGCACGAGCCACGCACTTACCTATGGTGAGCTCGTGCACACTGATCTATGGGGCCCTGCCCAAATGGCAAGCATCGCCGGGTGCCTGTACTACGTCACGTTCACGGACGACTACAGCCGGCAGACTAAAGTTCAGTTCCTCAAATTGAAGAGCGAGGCACTTACAGCGTTTAAAGCCTATGAAGCCTGGTTGGCACGTCAGATGCCGGGAGTTAGGCTGCGCAAGGTCCGTTCGGACAGAGGGGGAGAATATCTCAGCGCCGAATTCGACCTGTACCTCCGTCAGCAGGGTATCGAGCGTCAGTTAACTGTCCACGACTCACCTCAGCAGAACGGCGTGGCCGAACGCCTGAACCGGACCCTTGTTGAGCATGCTAGGGCCATGCTGATAGGGAGAGATCTCCCTAAGTACCTGTGGGCAGAGGCGGTCAACTACGCAACTTGGTTAAAAAACCGCTTACCGTCACGGTTGACACCCGGCACAACGCCATATGAGCTCGTACGGAAGGCCAAACCGGACTTGTCGCGAGCCCATGAGTTCGGGGCGAAAGTCTTCGTCCACGTGCTGGATGCTGGGAAGTTGGAGCCGAAGGCGGAGGAGGCGATCTTTGTGGGGGTAGATGCTGAAAGCAAGGGTTATAGGGTGTACTGGCCGGGGAAACGCCGTGTATCGGTGGAGAGGAACCTCACCTTTGCACCGGCAGAGATCCTGGTAGATGCACTGGACGAGGGGGAGCCTACTGCTGTTAACGAACATAACAGCGGCAACGGTAATAATAACTCACCTCATAGCGTCCAGCCCATCACCACTACCACGCAGCAGCAACCTCAACCATCTACTCCTCCAAGGACGACGAGGGCCAGACCTCCTCCGGGCTACTATGCTAGCCTGAACGAAGGCAGCAATGCAGCGGCCATAGCGATGGAGAACCTCTTGGAAGCGTCAGAGGTAGATTTATTGGATGAAGAAACTCACCTTCACCTTGCCTTGGCAGTCGCCCAACCGGAGCCCACCTTGCAACAGGCGTTAAACGGACCGGATGGAGTAGAGTGGCAAGAAGCTGTTGATTACGAGATAAGTCAGCTTGAGAAGTTGGGGACGTGGGAAGTAGTAGACTTACCTCGCGGCGCTAACCTCATCCCCTGCCATTTCGTTTTGGCAACGAAACATGGACCCGACGGCGAAAAACTCAAACTGCGGGCACGACTAGTTGCCAACGGCCAGAAGCAGCAGTTCGGTGTCGACTACTTTGACACGTTCGCGCCCACAGCCAACATGAGCACCATACGCGCTGTATTGACGATGGCGGCTCAGAACGACTGGGAAATCCACCAAGTCGACATAAAAAGTGCGTACCTCTATGCCAGTATCCAGGAGGAGATTTACATGTGCGCGCCACCCGGCTACCTCACGGAGAGTCAGCAAGGAAAAGTGTTGCGGCTGCAAAGGAGCTTACCTGGTTTGAAGCAGGCCGGTTTTGAGTGGGCTGAGGAGTTAGCAGGAGTCTTTGCAAAGATAGGTTTCGCCCGGTCCAAGGTGGACCAGGCAGTCTACTACAGACGCGCACCGGACGAGCACGTCATCATCACCATCTCAGTGGACGACATGGCTGTTACTGCCAACCGGACCTCCCACATCACCCGCTTCAAGTCCCAGCTCCATAAATTCTTCGAAATCATGGACCTGGGCGAGCTAAACTGGCTGTTAGGGCTAAAGGTAACGCGAGACCGTGGTGCACGTACCTTGACACTCTCCCAGAAAGCCTATGTGGACACGATCGTCGAGCGCTTCTACATGGGAGACGCTAAGAGTGCGCAAACGCCGATGGAACCTACACTCACCTTGTCCGTTGACCAGGGACCTGCCACGGTGCAGGAGATCCAGGCCATGCGCGATGTGCCGTATCAGCGAGCCATTGGCTCGCTGATGTACACAGCCACTAGCACCAGGCCGGACATAGCGTTCCCCGTCGCGACGTTGTCGCAATTCATGCGCAACCCCGGTAGGCCTCACTGGGAGGCCACCAAGAGGGCGCTACGCTACCTTAAGGGCACAGGAGACTTCGAGCTGACGCTTGGTTCGATGGACGGAGGTCTTGAAGCCTTCGTGGACGCGGACTGGGCGTCACAACCCCACCGGCACTCTATGTCTGGGTACGTAGTCCTTTTGAACGGAGGTCCCATTGCATGGAGTGCCCGGAAGCAACCACTGATCGTGCTATCCACGGCAGAGGCTGAGTATATCGCCCTGACCAGTGTGATACGCGAATTACTTTACCTTAGGTTGCTCCTCGGGGAGTTATATGACCCCGTCCCCAATCCTATCCCCGTGTTCTGCGACAACCAGGCTACCATCGCATTAGCGTCCAACGGCAAGTTCCAATCACGCACAAAACACATAGACCTTCGATACCATTTCGTCCGCTCCCACGTCAAGAACGGCACCTTCAAGCTATTCTACTGCCCCTCCGAGGACAACATGGCCGATGCCTTTACAAAGGCCCTGCCGAGACCGCGACTCCAGAAGTTGCGAACGATGATGAGCGTGGCTTGCGCTCGAGGGGGAGTGTTGGAGTACGAGGCCGAGAGATCCGACGCCAGGGGGAGATCAGAGTCGAGAGAGTCCGAAGGATCCGAGTGATAAGGGGAGAATGGTTCGAGCGCGCGCCAAAACGGATGAAGACGAGCGACGTATGACGTCGGCTCGCGTCCTACTTTATTTTTCAGTCTCTCATTCATATGTTCCAGTACCTGACCAACTTACTATAAGATTACCAGCAGTACTGCATGTGCATCTCAGTTTTCGTTCGAGACAACTGAGATGTACGTGCCAAAAAGTCCCTAGAGTTTACGACGCGTCTAACGTTAGTTATAGCTTGTCTTTGTCGTTCTAGGTAGACGCACCGTTATAGAGTTTTCGTTCGAGACAACTGAGATCTTGTCTTTGTCGTTCTAGTTCTAGACTCCTCGTGACCCTCTCGCTCGTAACGAACGCCTTTAAGGACCTGACGATTATGCCACTATCGTCCACGCACATTTCATTCACGTTCAGACATCCGGATGGGAAGGAAATTCCCGTACCCGTGCTAAAACGGGCGATTAACAAAGATTGCACCTGACGGAATGTAGGTTGACCATAGCAAAGAGTGACAGTGCAACCATTGAGAATAACCATTGGGCATTCCCGGAATAAAGCAGTGCGCTGCTACTCAGAATGATTTCGTGGATATTCCTCTGCAGAGGTGCCACCGCTGACGAGCGGACGACTGCACTTGTTTGATCATCTCTTCGATATCCTTAGTCGCAGCTCGCTCGGAAAATTTCTTTGCATCGATCGAAAAAGGTATCTGCACTTTCGCTTCCTCGAACTCAGTGCTATCTGAGACAAAGCACAAAAAATAACCCTCTTTGAGACTACAGAACTCCTTCCCTCAGTGACTCTGACGCGCCAGAAGGATCGACAGAGGCGATCAAGGAGCTGGCGATGAAGATAACCGAGATAGGAAGCAATGATTCCAATCGACTGTGACGGGTCAATGTTCATGTTCGGCACTGTGAGGAAACCGACGTTCACACCTAACATGACGGTTGACTAGAAACGGCAATCGAATTGTGTTGAACAAAGGATAACTAATAATGTGCTATGAAATATATATAAAATGAACACGATAATGAATCGAATGTCTATGAAACAGAAAAGGGTGAGGCGGTTGAGTCCAAAAGAATGTAGATCCAGAGCGGGAATGAGTGTGGATGTGTTTGAGCTTGAGATTGAGAGAGGGTAGGTGTGAAGAGAAGGCGCCGCAGCACTCAGCTGGACACGTGGTGACGGAAACATCCGCAAGCACCCGTTTCCGGCACCGTGCTAATTATTGTAGATTTGTAGAAGGAACGACACCACTGAATGTCCAATTGGACGGATCGATAGTTACTAGAAAACCTGCCAGTACTCTTGCGGAACCTCTAGCAACGGATGCTCAAGGGACGCCCTCTTCCTTAGGTCTTTCGCCACTCTTGAATAACACGGAAGCATAGGTCCGAAAAATGGTAGTAGAATGGCGAACCCAGAATCGACACCAAATGACAAATAGCAAGGAAAGCGAATGTTATGCTCACATAAAGCCGGACAGTTTCGGAGCCAGACGCGAACCCCGTGAGCACGATGGCTGATGATGAGCTGTGTAAGTAGCGACCAATACGAGGTGAACTGCCCACCTATGAGTAAAAGTATCACTGATATGGTAAAGATAATGATTGGCACTGTCAAACTCAGAAGGTGCCAGAATATTCTCCAGCGCGCCTCCATTATGACCTGCGGTGAGGTCAACTCTGACCTGCCGCCCCAAAAATGGACGATACGTACTTTTGCAGCACTACGTTGTTGAAAAATAATTCCAGCGGCGGATACCTTCAGCTGGAACAATAGCCCAAACAACGAAAAGACAAGTGACTCCGCCAAACAAGCGTAGGATGCATTAGATGTGTAATTGACATCTTTCGCAAGTGGTGGACTTGAGGAGATAAAAACTGCCACAGTGGCAAGCACGAGTCCTTGCTGCGCAAGAACACATCAATACGATCTATTTGAATGAATGACGCCCATCATCGACTTACCACTGTGCTCACTTGATTGAGCTGGGTCAGATATCGACCATGCAAAATTTCCCAGTTATCTCCTTCCTTCAAGAGGGCATGCAACCAGCGCAGATCGCTGCGCCAAGTGAATATGAAGCAGCACATCTTGAAGATATGACGCAAAATAAAGGATTTTGGGGGTTCCCACAGGGGTGGGAATTTGTCCAAACAGTTCTCACTTGAGGGAGTGCCCGGTTGTGAGGACTGTGAGGGTGCACTGGGAACCTGAGTATTCTCACTGGAGCTGGACATGGGCGGCGGTAAGATGGTATCCAAGGCAGCCTCAGGATTCTCACTTGAGTTGGACATGTGAGCAGTGGCAAGGTGGTAACCGACCTATCTGACTGACGAATAATTGCGAGAATATATAGGCAATGGAAGGGGGTATGTTTGTAAGCGCTATAGCGCTAAGAGCTAGTTCGGCAACTCGATATTTTCGATATTTTTCAATATTTGCTTTGGCATGTTTGCGAAAATGTTCACCGGCATCGTTCCGAGATGTCGGAGCTCGAACCTTGCTTCTCTCCTACTGTACATATTATCAATGGATGTATACCCTCATCTAACCCTAGAGCGGCGTAAGAGGCTTTTTGCTGGTGCGGTCGCGATCACTGCGATCTGTGCACAGTACACTACTCTTCTCATGGCCCAACCTGAAGTCAATGCTCCCCCTAAGTCCAAGGCGATTCGGAGCTTGAATTTGAGCTTATCAACAAGATCAGTGATAATGAGGGTAGGGTATATACCTTGATGGATCCCCAACCACTGGGGTTCGCGATGGAGCGCCAACGCCTAGCAGCGCTCATGACGAATCCTCGGCCAGAGGTCCGGGAACGACTCCTCAAATGCATGGTACTCGTAATCAGCATCGTTGTTGCTTCTACGCACGGCATCCTACAATCAATATATCCCAAAGATCCCGAGCCCTATCACACTTCAGCGCTAACTGGGCAAGACTGGGTGATCGAGTTGCTCACTGGTCACCCAGAGCGCATCAGGTGTGAGCTTGGCATGCGCGCCAATGCATTTGTGGAGCTTATCTCCGAGCTTCGCACCATGGGCCATTCAGACTCCAAGTTTGTGTCCCTCGAGGAACAACTTGCGATTTTTCTTTACACCTCTGTGACTGGCCTATCAATCAGGCATGTTGCGGAGAGATTTCAACGCTCGAACGAAACGATTTCACGGTGAGTTTATTTTATTTTATTTCAAGTGACAGTATCTAATAGTATGTAGTTATTTCCGCAAGATGCTTATCATCTTCACGTCGGACCCGTTCTATTCAAGATACGTGCGCTTTCCAGATGGTTCGGTCCCCCGCAAAATTCGGAAGAACCCCAAATGGTGGCCCTTTTTCAAGGACGCTATTGGGGCGATCGACGGCAGTCACATCCACGTCACGCCTAAGGCCATCGAACGTCCGGTGTATCGTAATCGCAAGGGCTTCGAGTGGAGCTAGTGATGGACGTAGAGGTGGCGGCAGTGCTTAATGGGCCTGCAGAAGCGGGAACAGCAGCAGCGCTTGGAGCAGCAGGAACAGCAGCAGCGCTTGGAGCAGCAGGAACAGCAGCAGTGCTTGATGGGCCAGCAGCATCCGCAAGATCGTTATCAGCATTGGTGGTGGAGGGAGCAGCGCCACCTGGACGGAAGACGTGCCGCCCTCTAGCGCCGCCCAATGGGATGATGGTCTGCATTTTTTCATAATGCTCCCATCCCCTGTTGCGGAAAGGACGCATGAGGTTATTTGCCTGACAAAAGTCAGCGCTCAAATCAATATGACGAAGAGGGGACATACCTTGACATACGATGTCCATACAGCCGCAGCCGCAGTTCCTTCAATCCCAGCTCCAGTCTCATTGTCCCAGTGGACCCCTGTCTGGTTGCGGTACTTCTCGATAGCATGAAATATGTTTTTAAGCTAGATGAGACTCGTCAGCTTAGATCAGATGAGATCAAATAGGGCTTACTGATGTCCACTTGTTTCGAGTTGATTTCGCTGTCTTCAGTGGACCTGCGCGAGTGGATTGAAGCGCCTCATGATTGTTGATGAACTCTGCAGCAGAGCCAAGAACCTGCTGCTTGAAGTTGCCTGCCCCTTCAGCCTCTGAGCGATGATCATAGAGATAGTCTACAAGGGTAACAGTCTCGACATCATTCCACTGCGCTGGTGGGGCCTTGGAGTGAGGGGGAGCATTGACTTCAGGTTGGGCCATGAGAAGAGTAGTGTACTGTGCACAGATCGCAGTGATCGCGACCGCACCAGCAAAAAGCCTCTTACGCCGCTCTAGGGTTAGATGAGGGTATACATCCATTGATAATATGTACAGTAGGAGAGAAGCAAGGTTCGAGCTCCGACATCTCGGAACGATGCCGGTGAACATTTTCGCAAACATGCCAAAGCAAATATTGAAAAATATCGAAAATATCGAGTTGCCGAACTAGCTCTAAAGTATGGGCAACGGGCATGTTACGTACTGTCCAAGCAAGGAGCGCTGAACGTGACATAGAAAGTCCCACACCCTGTCGCCAATTGAAGGTTAGCAGAAGCGCCGGCGCCATTTTCCTGGAAAGAACAGAACTCGCGCGCTGAACTGAACATTCTAGAATGTGAATCTGATCGAAATTATAATTGATATACAAAGTGAGTGGAAGGGGATGGAAGAAATATACACTGGAAAGGCATGCTGTGTATATTCAGAGGCAGTGATAAGATTCTCAAAAAAAGAAAATAAGCACGTATCGTAAAAGAGGATGAATGAAGCGAATAGAACCCTTTCGTCTTATGTCATCACGGCAAACACCCTAATACATATGCACCAGTGATCACAATATTGTTGCATCCGAACACTAATCAAAATCGGACCTGCTGAGAGCCTAAAGAAGTATCATCCAGCGTCTCTCTTCCAGTTCCGTATTTCATAGGTCCATTCACTGGGAATATGTATTTTCAAAGAGGTTTTCCAGAGATAAACAACTGTTACCTCATTTCGGAATCGATCAAGGCTCCGAATTCGTATTTGAGTATAATCCCTGAATCAGACCTTGTCCGGTACAATAACATGTGTCGCATTTACTACATACTAGGTTCCTCATGCAATCTGCAAACGTACGTACTTGCATCTCACGCACACTCATCATATTAAATGCCTTCAATGAATCCTCGCTCCCAATCCCTCACATACTTCCCTTCCCTTCTTTTTCACCTTCAACGTTTGTCGGTTCGATCTTTATCAGGGTCGATTCTGCACCACCCACACTCCTTCTATGATGTCTCCTGTGGCCGCACGCTTCAGGCTACTGCATACCGCTATCATTAGTAGCCAGGCAATTATCCTGGTATTTGGGTATACATTTCTTGGTACAGTTCTCTATTATGATTACCTCTCTCTACCCGATCAAGTCAGCAACTTATGGAGCCATTACCCCGGAGAGTTGACCATGATAGCCACATTGATAGCAACTGTGCTTTCAGTCACTACCGCTGCGTCTGTATACCTCTTTACTCCCCATAGTTTTCCATTCACATAGGGATAAACATTTTCCTAGTGCTTTCACGTTTTCGATCAAGGAGGCATTGAGGCATCGGATATTGCAGCCCATCTCTCTCGTTCAGCTAAGCGCCGGTGTCGCTTTGGCGAAGGGCTCCATCATGTTGAGACCTGAGCACTTACGACTGACCACCATGACGCTGTTCGCCTTTGGTGTCCTGAGACTTTTGACAGCTGGGTAACTCATTACTGAGAGCAACTTTCGCTGTGTTGTCTAATTTAAGTGCTGATACAGGTGGACGACTCTCCTGACACCGACTTACTTTCTATGGCCAGTTGAGATGCGAGGATCCGAACTTGACATTACTGGATCTGCGTTTTCCACCTTGCTCTTCCAAGAATTTCAAATTCAGGGTCTCACTGCCCGTGCGTATCTCCGCTTTCCCAGTGGTTCGTACATTTTTTCTAAAACGAACAACCAAAGTCCAAGACAATTCTTTCGAGATTCTCGACATCGGCGGAATGTTAAGCGGAGTCTCTGCTGCAGGATATAACTATGGTCTTCCTGGCACGTTTAATTTCAATGGCGCAAAATATAATGTATCTACTCGTAAGTTCAGGTCCTCGCATCACCTGAAGCTGTTTTGTGATGATGTGTCGTGTGCCTAGAGGGAATTGTGCCCGCCATCGAGGATTATTCAGGTTCAGATGGAATTCCAAGTGCTAATGGCACTCGTCTCGGCTTTTCTGGCGGAAACGTCACAGTCAACTTAGGACCGATACCGGGAGAACACACCAGCGTGTCCATTCCCCAAGGCTTCAGTAGAAATTATTCGATGTGGCAGCAGGGGTTAACAGCCAATGTCAGCTGCCGGCCCATTGACCCGAGTCAAACGCAGTATGGTTGGAACACGGCCAACTCCTCCCTCGTCTATGCCAACTCGGCTGCTTCGAACGACTCCATCACTGGTCTTCGCCTGTGGAATATAAGTGCAAACTGCGGTGCCAGTGAGTTCCGACCGCATACATCTTACCGGTGATTTACTGTTAGCTCCTAGATACGTCCATGACGCAGGAATATGTGACCATGGCGGATGCAAATGGAAATGCAAACGTGTTAAGGAATGGCTTTCTTCCTTCCGTTGTGTGCCCGGGGCCTACGGATCTGAATCAAACTTATACAAGCTTCAGTGAGCATTAAAGCACGCGTCTGTAGCCTTTGACCGATTCTGTTCCTATAGCGATTATCTCACAAGGATTTTTCAAATATAGGTTCCTTGACGCAAGCGTGTGCGAGGTGACTCCGCTGTTGACCACAGTCCGCGCCAACTATTCCAGTGACCTAATTTCTTCCGAGGTCATTTCATCCACCCCTTTTCAACCAGAGAATGAACAACTTCTGTCGTTCGTCATTGGAACTGCCAAGTTTCAGTCAATCAGCTCACAGGGGCTTACGAGCAGCGCAATCGGAGATACTCTGTACACCGTCTATTCCTCAACAACTAATACATCTATCGACGACAATCTTGGAAATCAAACGCAGGTTTACAAAGAGCTGGTGAGTTTTGTGTCGCAAGGTCTTTGCCCACGTTAAGTTTATGCCTTTGTTAGGAGGAATATTGGCGTGGCGTTGTTGAGTTTTCTGCCACGGTGAGTGTTCTGATCCCTTAGGTCCAATCGAAATTGACTCAGCATGGTTCGGCAGTTCCTCCGCTCTGGGTTTATGGTTGTGGGTAGCTTCCCCGATAATACCATCCCGGACAACCTCTCCTCCCCAATCAATGGAACAATGTACATATCGACGATAGGTTGGACTCGGGGGTCGATGATATCTCTTCTCGCTATCCTTCCCATCACCATCATAACCATCCTCACAGTCGCCTGCACTTTGTATAGTATCTTGCATGCTGAGAAAAAGAACATTGGCAATAGGATCAACTTCAATGCGTCGAACCCCCTTCATCTCATTATGGCAGCTGCTGCCGGGGGTCTGACACTCCAAGATTTCGACGACGACGGAATTATCGCCAACGAGGGCATGAAGGTGACCCTACAGGACAACGGTGCGCAGAGAATGTTTGTAGAAGATAAGGTCGTATGATTGCAGGTACCATTGTGCCATGGCAGTTGTCCTTTCATACCCGTATGCCCAATCTTACTCCTGTCTGATTGTAACGGTGGCGCTGTCGCCTATTCATTCCGATTTTATCAAACCTCCTTACCACGCTCCTTTCCTTGTTATTCTACACTCACTTGATGTTGCTACAGGCCAAGTACTTTGCTCCCCATCCTTCACCTTTCCCCCTATTCCCGCGTCTGCCCGATATTCATTGTTTCGTGGGCCTTAAATACAGTCGTTTTACATTAGTGTGTTTTGAACCTCCGAATTGTCTTCTATATTGTACATGCCACTTGTCTTCGAGCCTTGCACGCCACAAGGACACCCCTTCGGTCGGCTCCTGGACGATATAGTGTTTATAGTAGCAACTCAGGAAATAGAATAATGTCTTTTCACCCTCAACAATGCTGTGTACAAATGACCGTGAGCATTGAGCAAAGTGAGTCGAGCGACATACATTAAATGTAGTTGCATACGCGGGTCGCAGAGGAAACTGTCTTCGATCTACTGTCTGTAACGGACGGTTTGGGTGTTAATGTGGGGGATGCAGTGGCTTTCAAATGTATTGAGGAGTTGGACTTTGATAAACCGACGATGCAGCGCAACCACACCCACGCACACGTTTCAGGAAGTCAATGGTGTCGTCGAAGTTGATGGTCTAAGTGCGAGATTCTAGCGATTTCCAGAACGGTCTAGTTCTCCAATGTGATCCACGAAAGCCGTGAATTGAGGGTCATCAGTGTTACACTGCATGTTTGGTCATAGCGTTGATGACTTCACTGATCGATCCGATCGATCATGGGTCGCCAGAGTTGTTGCCGAGCTTTAAACTTGGTGCCAGTTGTGGGGTGCTGTAGGACATCTTTGGGGCGTATACAGATATTTTAACGTCGTTCAGTTAGCAAAGTGCTTACATACCAAAAGACCCCTAATTTTCCCTTGTCAAAAAGAAGGTTGATGCTTACGGTGAGCTTGTGGCACTGGTGATGAAGCAACACGATTGGTGGAGATGTGAACGCCAATATAGCTGTTATATCTGCCGATAAAATTTCACTCGAAGTTATCTCGCGCCGATGAGATGAGATGCTTAAAGACATGATATGATAGTCAGGCTAGCAGTCAACTTATTACAGAGATGCCGTACGCGACATCGCATGAGTTCTAATGGAAGGTTTTTAGGTCTTTCAAACAGGTAAAGACATTGATGTTACTCTAGGTACGTACATGAAACGTTCCGTGTTTCATATCAAAACAGCCGACATGCGTAGCATAACGATCAGGTGAGGATATGGCGACCAAGAACCGCAGATGCTTTGAAAGATTCAAGATGCCTCTGGACCTCAAAGCAGACACCGGCAGAGGGGCGCTCGTACCCTGCCGGGAAAATTCGATCGACAGAAGGGAGCACCGAGAAAATAATGCGGGCTACAGCTTCAGCATCCGACAGGGCAGAGGAGGTCAAGTTCAAATTTCGTAGGGAGGTATGAAGGAACAGCTCGGCTGTAGGATCGATATTGATATTGACGGCATCCAATGGTATGTCCAGCGTATGCAAGCGGGGGCATTGGTGGAGCGCTGTAAATAATCCGTGGAATGTAACAGTAGGTATCGCCCGTGGATCAATGAATTGCAACATTCGGATGTGCGGCCAACTCGACATGGCTTCCAAAAGTAGGTCGTCGTCAAGGTTTATGCAGCAATAAGGAAATTTGAACCGCAGGGTTCGCAATTGCATGAAACAAAGGGATTGTCTGATGGGCGTTGAGGAGCTGCCCAAGAGGTCCTGAAGTTCTCGATCACCACGTTCAGAGGAGATGGTGATGTGTGAAAGAGTTTTGTGCTGTGACAGTGCATGAAAGAGCGGCTCAATATCTGCCCAAGGCAAATTAAAGACATCCATCTCGAATTGGTTTAGCGAAGGGAATTCTAGGTGTTGCATAACTGTGATGGTGTATGCGGCTCTCCTGGTATAGAAATACAGTCTCGTGACATTGAGGAAAGGTGCTAAATTGACATTACGCGACCCCAATGAACAACGGTCGTCCCAAATTTCTAGCGTAAGAAGGGTGGGGAGGTTGGAAAGGTATTCCCATGTTGTCCAATCGAGTGGTGGGCAAGCCAGAGTCACAAGTCGCTGGCACAAACGGATACTGTCATACAGCACTCGCCCATCTGCTGCTGTGTTTTCAAAGGAGGATTTGATGGACAAGTCCTCCAAAGCAGCACAGCAGATTGGAACAGATTTCAAATCCGGATGAACAACTGGTAGTGTACAACAACGCAGCATAGGTGACAGGAAGAGATGCAAGTATCTAGTCAGATTTCGATCCGTTGATAGCGACAACAATCTCGGAAACATGCATGTCTCGATCGGGAGGGCTGAAAGAAGGTGAAAGTAGTCGTCATGTAATATTCTCAATGAGCGAACACGAGGGGCGTGATGCAGGAATTGAGTGACTTCGTGCTCAGATAATGGCTCGATGACTTCAAAGCAGAGGTGCTGCGTTTGGGTGCTTGGTGAGTGAATGAGATAACATGAACATAATCCGCACTGACCCTTGAAGCACGGCCGCGACGATACACGATTGGATGTAGCCTCGTTACGCAGCCCAGCAGTGGTTCTATTCCATCCAACTCAGCCCAAAGCAAATCCATTGCAGGCTCATAAAAAGGTTTGCATGTCCTAGCAAGCGCTGCAAAGGATTTCCGCGCCAATGATATCTCGCGATACGACAATATTGACGCATATGGGTCCAGGACTTTATTCACATGCATGAATACCTCCAGGAGAATTTCGGAAACAAGTAAAGCGCGATGCATCAGTGTAGGCTAGAACAACGAGAGAGTCTGCTCTACATTTAGTATGTGTTGTAGGTACGTGTACAAAAATAAACATACCTCAGTGAGTAAGAACAAACGCTGAGGAAAAGACAAACATACTGTGCACGCCATTAATATGATGTGGGACGGAATGATGCGGTGGCTGAGTGACGATGGTGGATCACTATATAGTACCAAGAAGCAAAGAAGAATAACGGAAAGGTAACAGTATATCTCTATATGCGTCAACAATCAGTTCTACGTCGATGGAATAGTGCTTTGACGATTATCAAGGACAAGTGCACCAAACAGACACAAACAACCTTTTAATTGAAAGAATATTCAAGTTAAATTAACCGTTAACGAAGACGTAACTAGGGCCATACGCTGGAGATAAATCGATAACGGGCAGACGAGGGATCTAAATGTCGCATTCTACTTCATGGCAACTGTGCAGTTGCATTATTGATTCATTGATTCCAATAGAGAGAAAAAAGGAAAAAATAAAAATAATTTATTCATTACTAGAACATCGAAACTTCAAACAATTCACGTGCGGAACGATCATGCATCAAAACATATAATTTTTCGCTTCTCTTACTGACGGGCGCATCAAGAGAAATGATAGGCTCATCTATGACCTGGTGAAGCAAATCCCCCAGAAATTGAAAGTCAAAGGCCGGTGGCACTTCTGTTTTATTTCGCAGGTATCCCCCAGGTAATTTGTTTTACAGGTCGGGCTATCAGCTGTCCTGCTCTGTGACACGACCAGTTTTCTAGAGTCAGGATCCATCCCCATCCAAATTCGATGTCATACCCAATATTGAAATGTAGTTCAATCACGAGGTCTCAGAAATGCAGCATCCATGCCCATCCGTGCGATTCTAGCTACATCATCTCTGCTCAAGCCAAGGCCTAGCGGAGGCTGTGCCAGAAGCAAAGAGTACTCTCCAAGACAAGACGTCCTGAAAGGGAGTGCGTCGTCGGTCTGTTGATGATGTAAAACGTCAGACGAAAGAGCATATCACGCGTAAGATGGCGTGCTTACACAAATGGTGATGGGATGGTTATTCTTCAGATAATAGCGAATATGATGCGCGTCGAGGGATGCGACAGTTTTACATCTAAAAGAAGGATTAGATTTCATAGTTCGTAGAATTAATGCATGATCCTACAGAAGATTAGAGCTCAGGCATATCTCGATGCATGGCTTGTACTGTCCGTTCGTACGCGCGTTATTGGGCGACTCCGCTTGTTTGATCATCTCTTCAATATCCTTAATCGCAGCTCGCTCGGAAAATTTCTCTGCGTCCGCCCAAAAAGACATCTGTACTTTCGCTTCCTCGGACTCAGTGCTATCTGAAACGAAGCGCAGAAGATAACCCTCTTTGAGATTTTGGAATTTGGAGTGGAGAGGGTGAAGGGGATCTCTGAGTCCGGCTGGTGTGTGAGGGCTTGTCGTGCCCGTTGCACATTCAGACAAAGAGCCGCATTCTGTCCCAGGCTGCGGGATATCCTCAAAGAACAAAATCTTCAGTTCATCTGAAAGGAATGTCGCGTGTCCGAGTCGATCCGGACGACAACTAAGGAGTGCCAGAGAATCCTCGGTTGTATTATTTGTGCTCTACAAATCCGAATATCAGTATTGAGTCACATGCACCAGAGTGAACGTCAAAAACCTCCGCGATGTGCACGGTCAACCCAAGGCCGGCACCCTTTGCTCTTGCTAGGTGCTGAGTGAAGGATTGCATGTCGCCACTGCGTGGATCCCCACATACATCAATGCCTACAACTCTTCTGCATCTGTTCTTCATCTCGATGGCGAGACTGATGCATTCTTCAAGGTCCGAGTCACTCATGCGACGATCAACGGACACGATCAGGGCGGCCTGAGTAGCAGGATACATCTCTACTTCATCAAGCACGACCGTGAGGTACCTCTCTCGCGTCATGTGTGTCGTCGCGCGAGGTGTAGTCCGTAGTTCAAGGTACGTGCATTGAGGACTTTCCGCGCCATCACTGGTGGGGTTCAGAAACAACTGGAGGACTGCGCGAGTAGTTGTCAAGACTGCTTCCGGGGTTGATGTCAGAGTATAGATAGCGGGCATCAGAGAGAAAAAGTCAAATATGTCATTCAAGATGACTCCAGACTTGAGTTTCTCGATAATGTCTGCGACCTCAGTTGTCAGTGGACTAGAAGGCGAGTATTTCTGCGCAAGTTCCAGTATTGTTTTGATAGGTATAGATCCGTTGAGATGAGCATGGAGCTCTGCCTTGGGGAGTGACTGAAGGAAAATTACATCGTCAGGGCATAGCGATGCCAGAGCAGCAGCTGCAGGGCCTGCAATTTCTGACATTTGCAAGAGATGACTGAGGGATGGCTATCGCCCAATAGCGAGAAACTCAGAAAAACATCCAGATTCCAAAGAATGGAAAGACGGGCAGACTCGATGGGGTAATCCTGTCCCAGCCGTTCCACTTGATCAGAAGACAAGAGAATTTGAAAGGTACTTTGAAATTGTGAGAGAGAATTTACATTATACCGCAACAAATGGAAACTGTTAAGACGCGGTGCTGTATACGAGTTGTCTGGGGAATAGTGTATGAGTGACTTGGTACCGGTACGTACTACGAATAGCCGATAAACTCTGTTTTGAAGTGTTGACTCGGATGTTTTCTAATTTATGGACCTCTTCGATGTCTTCCTCCCAAAAGTTAACAGTGATCGACTGCTCCTCCTGCCCATCTACAGACATGCTCATCACCTCCACCATCATATACCCACTGATCATACGAATATCTAAGCATCAATTGCAACCGTAGCCCAACTTCGGCGCAAGCAGGTCCGAGTCCTTTCCACCTCTACCATTCATCATCAACCAACCGTAGGTCGCTCCATCGATGTCCGCCAAAAGACACGTTATTGTTTCCCGTGACTGGGAGTACAAATATGTTGGGCTTGCTTCTCCAAAGGAGGGCTGTCACGGTACCCGCTGATCCAGCTGTCGTGCGCGCAGTTTAGGCATGACACACGGATGGGACAACAGGCGGATGTATCTAGTACCGAGAACATCACGACTTGCACTTTTTGATCTTTTGTAGCAAGGTACCAGTCCCTCCACATCCAGCTTGTGCAGTCTCAATCAACCTCCCCTTCTGAGACTTCTTCTGTCAGCATGGCACTAGCGCGACGGTGAAACGACAAAATAGCTTGGTAATAACGTAGATTATTATGGTTCACACCCATCAACTTGAAGGTTCGACGCAATCGCTTCCTGCAGGTTCATTAACGTCTTTAAATCGCACTGCACGTCAGGTGTCGATCCGCATGCAAGAATGAGTATGTCAGCACTCCCAGTTCTATCATTAGCGCTAGGTCAATATTTCTGAATATCAGGCTCGGTTGAAGTATTTGATTTAGATCATACAGATGAGTCGAAAATACTTGCATAAAGTACAAATGAAGTTCCATATATCGAGAAAATGAGTACAGCTGGATGAGCCAGAGACATGTCTTGCTTATTGGTGGCGCGACTTCCTCATTCTAAACATGAAATTAATATCTGACGGTAATAATTCTAAACAAGAACGTACCTTAGCTCAGGGCTAGCGCTGCTTCTGTGATGCAGTGGTCACTGGTCAGGCGCCGAGGACGGTTTGTTTCTAAGCAAATCGAGATGCTTGTTGACGTTGTGCAACGATCGTGGTACGCCGTCATCTGAATATATAACTTGGCTGACGGCGGGAAGCATGGAGTAAATGATGCGAGCAACAGCTTCAACATTCACGGCTTCGAGCTCACACGAGTCTACGGCCAGATTTCTCAGGGAAGTATGTTGGAACGACTCGACTTCAGGCGCGATATCGATATTCCGAGCGTCGACCAATACTTGCAGCTCTTGCAACTGCGGACATAGACGAAGTGCCGCGAACAACCCGCGAAATGTAATGGTAGTTGGAGAAGGATGCCAGCCGAATATGCGGCCAAGTTGTCATGGCTTCAAAAAGAAGGTCATCGTCAAGGTAGATGGGGCGATGAACATATATCCTCAGCGTTCGCAGTTCCTTGAAGCAGAAAAACTGTCTGACTGCCGTCAACGAGTCGCTTGTGTGCTCCTGAGTTTTATTGCGGGAAGAAATAATGATGTGTTCAAGGGTCTGCCAGGATGCTTTACACAGTGACAGTGCACGGAAAAGTTGCTCAGCCTCTGCCCAAGGTAAAACACGGACATGCACCTTGAACTTCTTTAGCGAAGGGAATTTGAAATGTTGTATGATTGCGACAACGGATGCCGCTTCTATTCCACCTGAGAGCGAAAGAGTCGTGAGGTGAAGGAAAGTTGCAAAATCGAGATTGTCCAAGGGCCCGGGGTAATGAATCATGCGTGATGTGAAAATATTCACCTCGAGAAGGGTGGGGATGGTAGAAAGGTGCATCCATGCTGTCGAGTCGAACGGCGGATATTGCAGATGTTTGAGCCTCTTGCATGAACGAAGGGTTTCAGAGAGTCGCACCCCGCCGCTACCCCCATAGACGGTAAACTCCTCCATATCAGGACAGCGTGCCCCAATATATTTCATATCTAATTGGAGTTCCTCGGATATATGATAACAACTGCGCAACGTTGGGGGCAGGAAAAAGCGCAAGTCTCCTATTTCCGTGCATTGAACCAACCAGGATAACGACCGCAGATTCGGAAACACACATGTCTCGATGGGAAGGGTCGTAAGAAGGTGAAGAAATTTGGTGGCTGATATGGATATATTGCGCACACGAGCGGAATGGCGCAAAAATTGATGGAACTCGTGCTCGACTAATGGGTCAACGTCCTCGGACCAGTCACGGTCATACTGTATTTAGATGCTTGATCAGCGAACACAGAACGACATATGAGGTTGCTTTAATACTCGGCACTGACCACGGACTCGGAATCATATACCACTGAATGTAACCTGGTCACACAGCCTAACAGTGGTCTTAACCCAAGCATGTTACACCAAAGCAAATCCATGGCAAGCTCGTGAAAGGTTGTGCATGTCAATGCGAGCGATGCAAGGGATTTTCCTGTCGATGATGGAAGCCAGGTGTCCAATATTTCTGAAATCGGGGGTTGACTCAAATTGTCGAATATCTGCACGAGTATTTCTGAGACTAGCAAAGCACGATGCATCGATGGAGGAGGTCTATGGCAGGATGCTTCCGCTTATTTGATTTGTCTCAAGACTAGCGGAGATTTGAATCTTCGGCCGTGGATGATTAATGATTTCTCCTATTTTACCCCTTTGTATTGTCGGTGAAGATAAGAGAATTCAATATTAGCAATGATGGCTATGGGGAGAGCAGTATTGAATACAGAGATGAGTGAACGAAGTAGAGAGACAACTGCACTGCAGAGAGGTAATAGCGAGAGTGATCGCCTCTTGGTTTAACACCAGGTGGCACCCCGACTAGGACCCCAGAAAAACTTCAACCACCAGGCGCCCAACGGCGCCTCACCGCCTCGTTAACCAACACTAACCAACCTTCATACTCTAGATTCAACTAATGCCACTTACCCTCTCCTCACAAACAAGAAAAACCACCAAAAACACGCTTCAAACCACTCTAGACGGCCAAGGAATCGACTCAAACCGAGCTGAGACCCCAGCCACCAACGGACCGATGGCTACAGCCAATAGACGGGCTCCGCCCAAACTAACTACTCAGGAAATCATGGAACTGACCAACGAAGTCCACAATGCGGATACAGGCAAGAAGTACCTCGAGCGCACCGCTCTATCAATCAAAGGTAAACCCTACACCGTAAACACGCTAACCGAAACTCTCCTGCACGTCACTCAACTCAGCGGAGTCTCACTACCGGCCGTAACAGCCATTAGAGCAGTAGTCTTCATTATGCAAGAGAAAACTAACGATGAAACAGCAGAAATCATAGCCAAGTTAGTAGTAGCATCAATCTCCCCTCAAGTAGCCAAACTCCAAGAAGCAGAAGAAGCCATCAGCAAGGCCACGACGGAACTCAATGCCAAAGTCCTAGCTCAAGACTCCCAGCTTACGAAAGTTCAAAGCTCTGTGGACAAGCTCGCAACACAAGTATCAGACTCCCCCTTCCTCAAACCATCGTACGCCGAAACGTTGAAGACGTTGAAAACGGGACACTCAACCCACCAGGACCCAGCACAGCAATCCCAACAAATTCAGCGACTAGCAAGAGAAGCAATCAAGGAAAGGCAACTACTAATCGATTTCCCAGCTAACTGTCCGCTAGCGGCGGGGAAAAGCTCCCATGCCCAGCTCGTTGAAAGAGTCCACAAAGCCCTGGCAGCCATACCCAAAGAGGATGACGTCGACCTTGAAATGAAGGCAGTCACACAATTCAAACAGGGAGGAATGACTATTGAATTCAAAACGAAGGAAGCCGTTATCTACATCCGCACCAATGAAGAAACGAAAAACCTCCTCCTGAAGAACCTCGACCCAGACGCCACAATCAAGGAGCGCACCTACCCTGTAGTGATACCTTTCATGCCAGTCACTTTCAACCCAACAAGCGACACTGCCCTTAGAACGCTAGAGGATGAAAACAACTGGACAAAAGGATCGCTCACTTCAGCTCGTTGGATCAAGCCGGCAGAAAAGAGAAAGAGTAGCCAGCAAGTAGCCCATGTACTAATCAATTTCACAGAACCAATGGAGGCGAACACCGCAATCAGAGACGGCATCACCTTCTACCAACTCAAACTTTGGCCAAAGAAAAACAGACGCGAACCAATCCGCTGCGCCAAATGCCAACACTTCGGCCACATCGCTCGTGAATGCATAGCAAAAGGTGACACATGTGCAAACTGTGGGAACAACCACCGCTCCAATGACTGCACCACCAATGACAAGAATTATTGTACGTCATGCGAAACGGAAGACCACTCAAGCTGGAGTCGCGACTGCCCTCTCTTCAAGAAGAAATGCGACGACATGGATAAACGCTACCCTGACAACAGTATGCCTTTCTTTCCAACGAACGAAGAATGGACCCAAGTAGCAGCACCCCCAAAACCTGCCCCATACCGTAAACCTGCACCACCACCGAATGAACAACCGCCGCCTCTTACACAGCGCACGCTGGACTCATACCCGAACAGACAAAATCACCGATCTGGACGTGGTGGACCACCATCACGTGGCTTCGCCCACAACCGCTCCCCCCCTCGCCACAACCAACAGCAACAAACACAAGACTTCTTCAGCACCCTGGATTACACGACAGAAAACCAACCCATTGTCAACTGGGAATGATTGACACACCTGACAACTCAGCGACACGGTTGCGTATATGGCAGCAAAATCTCAACACCTCATCTGATGCTCAACACTGTGTCCTTAGCGGACCCACGACAGCATGAGACTGGGACATAGTAGCCTTACAAGAACCCACCATCGACACAAAAGGTAATACACGAGTCACCCCAGACTGGCATGTAGTATATCCCACTCACCGTTACACCCAAAACAAGCGCTCACGGGCAGTAACACTTGTAAACAAACATATTAACACTAACAGCTGGCGTCAACTTCCCTTCCCCTCCACAGATATAGTTGTAATCCAATTCGATGGCGCCTTTGGGAAACTAACACTATTTAATATCTACAACGATGGCGACAAACAGGACTCCCCTCAAGCAATCCAGCAGTACCTCGAAACCAACATAAGGACCGTCCGACCATCAGCAACTGACCACATAGTATGGCTAGGCGACTTTAACTGTCACCACCCGCTATGGGAAGAAGAACGGAACCGTCACCTGTTCGAACCAAGAGACGCTCAAACCAAAGCCCAAGCGTGGTTAGAACTAATGGCGGAATACGGAATGTGCCAAGCGTTACCCAAGGACAAGCCAACCCTGCAATCTACGAGTACCGGCAACTGGACCCGTCCCGACAATGTTCTCTGCTCTGACAACACCTTGGATTCATTCATCATATGCGACACGGCTCCCCAACTCCGAGCACCGAAGACCGACCACGTCCCTATTCTAAGCACACTCGATCTAGAACTCCCTCAAGCAACTACGACCATAAGCTACAACTACCGCGAAACCGACTGGGAAAAATTCGACATCTGCCTAAAGGAAAAGTTAAGAAAGATCCCACCCCCAGCTATCCTTACATCCCAAGACGAATTCCAAACGGCAGCAAAAGCACTAGCAAAGACCCTGCAAGAAGTCATCGAGGAGAAAGTACCTAGATCTAGACCGAACCCGCATGCTAAAAGATGGTGGTCGCATGACCTCACCAAGATGTTAGAGAGAAAACACGAGCTGAGTGAATTATCCTACAAATTTCGAGCGCTAAGAGATCACCCGTCACACGAAGAACACAGGATATTCCGCAACAAAGTATCCGACGCCATCTACAAAGCCAAGAAAGAGCATTGGACACAGTTTCTAGAGGAAGCCACCCAGCGGGAAATATGGATAGCAAACAAATATATCACAACCCCAAGCAGCGACGGCAGTAAAGCACGAATCCCAGTACTCCAAGTCAAAAACGCCGACGGTTCACTCAGAGAAGCAGTAACAAACGACGAGAAAAGCACCATCCTCGCCCAAGCATTCTTCCCGCCGGCTCCAGCCTCAAGCAACATCCCAGCTAACTTCAAATACCCAGACCCAGTCACTCCGTTCAAGCCCATCGAAGAAGGAGACGTCCGACAAGCCATTACTAACACCAGTCCATTCAAAGCCCCAGGTCCTGACGGAGTCTGTAATATAGTATTCAAACGCAACGCTTCCACCCTCATCCCTTACCTCACTCACCTTTTTAATGCAGTCTTCACGCATCGTACATACTTTGAACCCTGGAAGGACTTCACCACAATAGTTCTACGAAAACCTGGAAAGGCCGACTACTCCATCCCAAAAGCATATAGACCGATCGCACTCATTAACACCACCTGCAAACTCCTCACGGCCATCGTCACACGTCAAGTCACACACACGCTCGAAAAATACCACCTTCTCCCAGCGAATCACTTTGGAGGGCGACCGGGACGATCCACCACCGACTCGGTGCACCTCCTTGAAGCGACGATTAAAGACGCCTGGCGATCGAAAAAAGTAGCATCAGTCTTGTTCCTGGACATAGAAGGCGCATTCCCAAATGCAGTTACTGACAGACTCGTCCACAACATGAGAAAACGACGGCTACCACTGGAACTCATAGAATTTACGAAGCGGATGCTAACAGGACGACGCACCCAACTCAAGTTCGACGACTTCACCTCCGAATGGTTCCCCGTCAATAATGGAATTGGTCAAGGCGACCCTCTATCGATGATCTGCTATCTAATATATAACTCGGACCTCGTGGATATAGCCAAAGGACGCATAGGAAGAGGACGCGAAGAGGTTGCCCTTGCATTCGTGGACGACACAGCCTATATTGCGGTAGCCAACACATTCGAAGAGACACACGCCATCCTGAAAGACATGTTAGAACGCGAGGGAGGAGGCTACCAATGGTCAAGAGAGCACAACTCAAAGTTCGAAACATCCAAATTTGCCCTAATGGATTTCACTCGCAGCAAGATCAAAAAACGAAACCCTATCACTCTCAACGGCACCATCATCCAACCCTGTCACCACACTCGCTTTCTAGGTATTATAGTGGACCAAGAACTCACCTGGAAGGAGCACGCAGCATATGCAGTAGCGAAAGGTATGGAATATGTTCTACTGATCCGTCATTTATCTAGATCATCAATGGGCATCCCCACCAAACTCATGCGTCAACTATATCAAAGTGTAGCGATACCCAAGTTCATGTACGGAGCCGACATCTGGTTCAGACCTCTCTTCAAGGACAGCATAGGAGGGATGCAAAAAGGATCCAAAGGAATTGCAGACCGACTAACAACCGTCCAGCGGATAGCAGCCATCAGCATCACCGGAGCCATGCGAACTGCCCCAACAGACTCCCTAGAAGCACATGCCAACCTCCTCCCGATTGCCCTCCTAATGCAAAAGATATGTCATCGAGCCACAGTTCGACTAGCCTCCCTCCCGCAATCCCACCCGCTACACAAGAAACTCGTATGGATAGCTAATCACAACGTACAAAGTCATCGATCGTCCCTACATAATCTTCTTCACACCTTCCGCATCTTTCCAGGCG